TTTTGCATGTCATCCCCTCTCTCTCTCCCTGACTTTTTCTGTCTCACTCTTACTGTGCTATCAGAATATAGCAAACATGCCCCCCCGTCCCCCCTGCCCCCCCCCTAAAAAAAAAAAGGAATGTTATTTTATCTAATGCAGCTTTAATTATCAGTGGCTAACATGTTTGGCTAACTTAGTTACAGTTTAATCCAACTGAACTAGTTATATGTTTTGTACTGTCACCATGTTTAGTTATCTGATACACCTTTATTTTTTCTTTAGACTCAACACAGACCAAAATTCAACATTAGACGGCGATCATCTCTCAGAAGTCACCTATTTGGAGATTTTTGTAAGTTATGCCTATTCCTACACTACACTACACTAGTGATCAAAAATGCAAAAATGCATCTTTTCTATGTCATAATCAAATTTATAATTGATAAAACAGTAGTTGTGAAATGGGACATAGCTGCATCATATTTTTAATGCAGCTGAAACAGACCTGAACAAACTGCAGGTGCAGTATGGCAGAGGCAGCCAAGCAGGTGTAAGCTGAAACCCAAGACCTCATCCAAAGAGACAAGTGAGTGGCCTTCTTCATTTACCAGCTCTTGACAGCTCCAGAGGCATTTTAGGTCCATGGTTAATACCTTAATATGAAACTTAACAAATATGTTCAGTTAAGCGTCTGTAGTCATAGAAATACTTATATATTCATGACCATATTGACATTAAAATGTTGATAGTAATCTTAAATTTCTCAGTATTTTTAGTCAGAACTACAGCCATTTGTGTATAAAGGCTAGTTGCCAGAATGAAGCCCAGATGAAAGAATCTTTCAAGCAAATATACCAGTCTAAGATGCCTCGCAAACCCTGAATAGAAAGAGTATGAAATGAAAAAAAACAATTTACTACCAAAACTAATGAGACTTAGGTAGCTTTTAAAGACATATATTCTATGTTTTCATATTTGCCTGAAGTATAACTTGTTATTTCATCTGTGTGTTGTTTTGTCCAAACTTTAAATGCGTTTGTGTCTCTGTGTCTTCAGACAAGAGATCCAGAGGCTTCAGGATGAACATGAAGAACTTTTACGCAACCTCAGAGTGTCTCAGACTTGTAGCTGTTGGACTGATGCCAGTGATGTTCAAGACCTTAGTGCCATGTTGGCCAGTGGAGGCAAAAAAGATGTGGAGTGGAGGGCCGACAAAAGAAAAGTGTCATCTTTGAAAGATCAGGTAATGTTTTCTCTGTGGACCATATAGAGTGCTGTTGGTTGACTTTCTCCTTATTTTCTTACCACAGGTAACCCCACTTGTTGACTTTGATTTCAGATTTCGAAATGGGAAAGGAAGTTGGCAGGACAAGGACTGGTCGGGGAACTACATGCCATAGTTAGTAGGAAATCTGATAACAGTAACTTACTAAAAACCACATGCTTAATAGAAATTAAACTCCACAGGGTTAGTGTTACACAGAGAATCCATTTTCCCATCAACAAAAATTAGATTTCCACTAACTTAGTATGTTTCTATTCTAGGGTTGCAAATGCTTCAGTGAGCTGATGACCAGGAATGGACAGTTGAGGGAGGAGCTGAAGATACTGCAGGCCGAGAGGAAGCATTTCCTACATGTTCAGTCTGGGTTGGCAAAGGTAGATTCAGTTAACATCAGCCAGTTTAAATTCATATTTTGCTGCTTCTACATCTTACCAAGATATACCAAGATGTATAATCTTACCAAGATGTAGCAACTGGGGTAATAACAAGGAAGAAGCTCCAGAATGATGTTTTCAGTCCCTCATTCCTCTTACTTGTAAATTTTCTTGACATCGCAGAAAAATTTAGACTTAAATTATTTTACAACAGGAGATGAAACCCTACCCTCAAAGCTGGGGAGCAGTGTGAATAGTGCCGGTCAAGAGTTGGATGTTGATAGTGGAGATGCTTTGATGCAGGATGGCCAGTGAAGGGGTATAATCTCATCCATTAGCTGCATGCAATTCACAAGGATATTTGTAACCTGATGACTAAATGCACTGAAGCCTTTAATGCCAGGTATACTACTCTGCAGCACTATATGAAGACAGATGCAATTCTTGTGACCCACTGTGCACAATTGATAGGTTAGAGCATATATTAATACTTTGTCATGGAGACAAGGAATCAGATTTTTGAAGTGCAAAAAGGCAGAGATTGCCAGTCAACTTTGCTTAAATGTATTAATATTTAATGGATGACAAAAAAGAAATGCAGGAGAATAGACTAAATCACCATATTCATATCGAGGCACACTTGCATGTGTCTTCTTCCTTTTTACTATATGTACTGTTTACTTTCAATAGCTAACAGCTTAGATTCATTAAGTCCATCCACTATTTATAACGGTCTATTAAGGTGTATATTTATGAATACACCATAGTGTGAAGATCCAAGAGAAAGAGAGGATGCTGATGGACCAGAAAGCTAAGGATGTTGCTCAGTACATCAAAGAAAGGAGTAGCCTAGAACTTTGAAGCCTTCTTAGACCTGAAAACTCTTTTGCACCCAAGACATCAACCCCAAAAAAAGGTGACTGCAAATCTCATGCTTTGAACACAAAATATGTTTTTGCAAGACTACATCATTTCAAATCTGTTAAGTAGGATAATAATACTCTCCAGCCTGCATATTAGAATGATCACTTACTGTCCTGTGACAACACCACGTCAGCCATTTCAGGGAATTTAATACCTCATATCTCACAGTTTTTAGTTTAAGCAATCTGAAGGATCAAATCATGAGTACGAAGTTCTGAAAGAGGGGTACTTTACTTAATTTGCCTTCTCCTGTTGTGAACAGTGTTTGGCTGCCTTTTTCCACACCACCTATATGCTTCATCATTAGTGCTGTGATATTCCACAGCATTAAGAGGTCTGCTAGTAATGTCAGGCTGTTTAACACAACAGACCACTGTCACCACAGTCCAGTGTTTACTTCTTATCGAATGTGTTGACTTCCAATCAAATAAACTAGTGACACCTGGTGTTCAAATGATGTTACTTCTTCACCAAGACATGCCTCGTGAAGAGGACAGAGGAGAGGTTCTCTGTTACTTATAATTTATTCTGAGGGGACAACAGTTTTTAACACCTAATTACAGGTGAACAGTAATCTATAGATAATTATTAATTAAATAATTGATTGTTTAAATTAATACTGATTGTGATATTACCACAGTACCAACTATGTTCTTGTAATTTGAGTCTTGCTGAACTGTATTGGCACATTTAGAAATTGTGTTTACCTAATCATTTTTAATCAATATGCTAATTTCAATGTTGCTGTACGTCATTCCTTATATGAAGCAACTCTGGTGCAAGATTCATCCATAAGGCATGATAGGTAAACGAGGCTTTTGTATGAGTTTTCCACATGTCCCCACAATGGAGAGGTGCAAACACCTGGGCTCTAAGGTATGGGCACAGGAAGATCAGACAATGGAATTTTAATCTGTCTCTTAATCAAAAAAAACATGTATATGGAACATGTCTGTGGAACCGACTGTGGAATAGCTGTTGCTTGTGGCCACAGGAGGGTCTGTTAGCAACCTCATGTTTGTGAAAGGAAATTTAAAATGGAACATGTGAACCTACAAAGTGGTGAAAATCCTCATCACTACTGCATGTCACTGCACATCGACAGTCTCAGCACCATTGCTGCTCCTGTGAGTAACAGCCACCTGTCAACCTGACTGCTGCTGCTGCCAGCCCTGCACCGGAGTGTTTTTTTTTATCGCGACCTGTCACAGGCGGACCATTAGCAACAGTATAATCATTAATCAGTATCTGCGTTTTGATTTGATGTATGCTTGGATACAGTCTCTGTGATACCTCAGTAACGACCAAGACTCGCTGGACTCAGTGCTGCTGGAGCGAGTAGAGCCTCTCCTGACACTGGTCAAAAAGAGGCTGAGTACAACTGACATAACAAAACAAATAAATACATTAAAAAAAACATTTGTACAAAGCAAATTGTTTACTGTATAACTTCAGTCTTTCAGTTTATCAGAAGTTTTGAATCTCTGGCAGTCCACATGTAGTTTATTATGAAAACATAAAGGAGGGTTTCTTAATTCATCCCTCAGATAAATACTGCTCTTTAGAGCTACCACATAAATTATGGATCAACACAAAGCCATGGGTCTGAGAGTTAGTCTTATACAATATGCTTTTTAGTGAATTGTTATATAGACATAATATGATGCAAATCTTAAATGCACCTGTTATTCAACAGAGAATAAACTGCTTAAGGTAAAACTTCACTTGGATTTAAAAGTGCTAGAACTAATGGCATCTAATCTATATTTATGTATGTTGTATACATCATTTGTTCACAGTCAGTGGTATATGTGCATTCAATAAATTCATTTCAGTTAGTCAGTGTCTTCTCTTGAATAAAGGTTTATCTGTAGTTTAGCTCAATAGTATTTTTTAAAGTTAAGCCCTGACCATTTCATGAAGCAAACAAGTGTCCTGCACACACAAGCGAGAGCACATTTACCCCATTCTACCCTCCTTCCATCGGCTCCCTGTGTGCTTCATGTCAATTTCAAAATCCTTCTGTTTGCCTATAAATCCCTGAATGGTCTTGCTCCATCCTATTTCTCCTGCTTCAACCTTATGTACCTTTGTGGTCTCTCAGGTCTGCTGATCAGCTGCTCTTGGTGGTCCTGAAAACTAGACTGAAACTCAGAGGGGATCAGGCATTTGCAGTTGCATCTTGCCTTTACACATTAGGCCTCTTCACTGCCAGTCTGTAAATCTCTCAGCCTGAGATGTTGCTTAACTGTTGTTGTTTTTACACGTGTTTTATGTATTTTTAAACTTTTAATGTGAGATCTTTTGCTTGTGTTTTATGTCTTTTTTGTGTTTTATTGTTATTGTACAGCACTTTGGTCAACAGGGTTGTTTTTAAAAAGTGCTTTATAAATAAAATTGGATTGGATTGGATATATTCTGCACATTGACACAGGTGGGAAAAACCATGTTGTTTATGGGATGACATTCAGAGGAACATTAAGAGCAGACAGTGATTAAAAGACAATGTAAATTACACATATTCCCAATATTTTAGTAGAAATTATGAGAATACATGAACATTACTTAATCAAAAAATGATTGTACATTGACATTATGCTGAACAACAAATGATCAAGTTCTTGACAAGTTGCTTACATAATTAAAAACAAACTAAACAGATTCACTCAATCAGTCACATTGACTCAAACACCACAGTATTAAAATCCCTGAGCAATATAACTAAATAATGAACATAAATACTCTCACAAGATTTGGCCTTTCATTAGTCTAATTGTGTCTTCGATCACCCGGGTAGCATCATAGTGTTTGATCTTTAAGATGAGGTCATTTTCATGTCAACATGTTTTTCAGTGTCATCTAGCCCTTGCTAACATCACCACAGTGCACGACTCTGCCCTCCAGTCGTGAACGCTCAGCTTCAAACACCAGCAGGTGGCTCAGCAGCGTCTCCACAGGGCCCGATCGGATCAGGGATGGATCATTACTCTGCATGCACAAACACACATACACACAGCTGATCAACCAACACAGTCAAGTCAGCGTTTCCAAATCCTATTCATCCTTTAAATCCTGAGTCGGAGCCTCACACACAGCTACAAAAATGTACACACAGTGAATGTTCATAATCTGTCCTTATCCCAAACAGCTGCAGCTAAACAAAAGATTCAAATCAAAGCTGTTCATATACTGCAACAACCAAAGAAGCTGATTCTAGTGTGGGCCAAGGAGAAAACTATACATTAACAAAATAAAAAAGGAATAGTATTTATATGAACTCACCGCCACAGCAGAAATAAAGGCATCCATAAGGTGATAGTCTGCTCCACCATGCCCACTCATGCCAAACAGCCAGGGCGTATTGCTGTGTGGTCTGTGCTTTGTGGATCTCTGGGTCAGAAAGTCAAACACACGTACCTCATGGCCATCGTATGACAGCTCCCCCTGTGACGATACACTTCATTATATACAGACGGGTGACAAATTATAGGAAGAAGCTGGAAAATGAGTGGAGAAAGAGGATGACAATGCCCCATCCATAGGGCATGATGGTCATTGAATGCTTTGATGAGTATGAAAATGATGTGAATCATAAGTTCCATGAAAGGGAGCTCTTACCCTAATGGTTAACTTTGGGATGAACTGTAGCGATGGCTGAAAGCCAAGCAGAACATCAGTGCCTGACCTCACTTGAGGATGAATGGGAGCAAATCCCTGTGGCCAGGTTCTAAAATCCAGTGGAAAGCCTCCCCATAAGAGTGGACGCTTTAAGATTACAGCAGCATTTTGCATACTCATGACATTTGAATGAGATATGGATAAAATGTTTTGGTGTACTCGTAGTTTTGACTATGTTCTGCATGTAGTCAACACTATGATAGTTGATTTTTTTCATTATAGCCCCGAAACACTTTACTATTTTTGAGCTAATAGTTGATACATCGTTTTCCTGCTGGCTTCTTTTGTTTGCAGCATCTGTTGTACCTTAAATATTATAATATTTTCTCCTTTTCTACAATCCTCATTCCTTCCAGTCCTACCTTGCTGCCATAAATGGTTGTTTTTCGCTTGCAGACCTCCTCAGTGAAGGCGACCATGGAAAAGGCTGCGGTCAGGCCGCCTTCAAACTCTATGTTAACAACCTGGAAAAACAGAAAAGATCATCAAGACAAGACAAAAGTGTTATACTTCTAAACATTAATAATGACTTAACATAACGTTACGTTAAGTGCCATAAATACAGTATTATTAAAGGAAAGTAAATGATGAATTTTTAGGTTAAATAACTATCTTTGAACAAGGTGAAAATCTAAGTTATTGGACAGAGTGAAAAAAAACATGCATTTATTTACATTAGTAATTGACTGCAAATTTTGGAGACAGGAAAGGATGTATATAATAAAAGGCAGCGTGAGCAATAGTACAAAAATATTTTTTGTAATAATATTTGAGTTTTATTTAAGCTGAAAAAAAAAAATTAATGGGTTAGAGAGTGCTGGTATGTTTTGGGGATTAAGAGCAGTCCTGAATGTTTTCTAACCTGGTTACTGCAGACATCGTTGTCACACTCGTACACACAGCGGCCATATGGTCCAGTCCGCAGCGCCTCAGTTACTGACTCGATGTCTGGCAACGAGTTTGGACATATGACTGATACAGGCCAGCCTGTGTGACCCTAGCACACATATGAACAAACAGAATGTATCAAATTATGAATATGTATTATGTTTACAGATGATGAAGTATAGCAGATGGTGAAAATAATGATGGTGATGAAATGTTCACCTGTTTCACTCTGTCCAGGTAGATTTTGCGTGCTGAGTATGGACAGTGTTTTTCTACTGAACAATCCAGGCAGCGATCTGCAGCGTCTTTTGGCTGACAAAGAAACACACAATGTCATATTTCTTCATACTCAGTATGGACATTTCTGTTGGTGCAGAGAACTGTCATCAATCAAATACAATTAAATGATACAAAAACACAACTCAGAACTGTTGAACAGGAGTTAAGAGCAGTGATGTCATGTTCTGTCATAGATCTTCAGTAAAAAGGATTCACTTGTCAAAATATAAAACAAAATACAATCAGAAACCTGTTTCTTGGGTCACATACTGTGAACGCACCACATACCTTGTAGTCTTTTTGGAAGTGGCTGACAGATCCAAATGATGACACTTTCACACACCTGCAAAGTGCAAACTCTGTTAATGCTTAATCTTAGGCAAACAAAAAACAACCTCAACCACCTTACAACACAGAGACTGCGGCTCAACAAAACCACCATGGATATCTAGTAGCATCTAGTTCCTACTAGCATTGTTTGGCTGAGGCATCTGACAAACTGATACACATGATATCATCCAGCTGACAAACCAACTTATTCATTTAAGTGGTGACTGCATATTATTCTGCACAGTACTTCTAAACCTTAGACAAGCTTGGAGTTGATCATTGACTACTGTTTAAAGTTTACCTTCGTGCTCCAGCCCAGTTATGTATTAGGTCAATGTCATGGCACGATTTGGCCAAAAGAACGAAAGAGCTCTCAGCTTCATTCCTCCAGTTTCCTCGAACGAATGAGTGAGCAAAGTGATAAAAGCCAACCTAGAACAAAAAGTTGATACTGCATTTAAACATTTAGCCTAAACATACAGTTTAAATATAGCAGTGTATTAATTTCATGGGTACATATTCACTACAAAGTTTAAGTACATATAAGTTTGAATTGAAACATCAGGTTCATGAGTTTATGAAGATCTTTGTATTATCATAATACATTGTATCTGTAGGCTAAAAAAATATTTGGACTTAAAGAAATCATGAACAAAAAACAAGAATATGTTACTTTTAAATTAACAGGGTTGATAATTAACAATATTATGTTGTTATGTTATTGTGCTGTTATTTGTTTTTTTTTTATTTCCATTCTGTTTGAATTCTTACCGGCTCAAAGTGCTGAATATGCATCACATCACCTATGACTCCGGAATCTAGCAGCTCCTAGAAAAAGATTGCTTGATTTAATTTTCAGACCAATCCTTATTAAAATACAATCACAGGTTTGCTGCTGTCAGATTTTCCAAAGCAAGAAGTGCTGAGCAGTTTATTAACCGATTGATTTGATTGATCACACATCTAAAGAAACTTTTGCATTTTCACTCAAGGTAAGTACTTATTTATTTTAACCCAGTTATCTTGAGATCAAGACTTAGTTCTTTAGTTTTTTCCATAGGAAATCCAACTTAACGAAACTCAAGTTCAACAGAGCTCTTTTTGCTGATTGATCTTAATGTGACAGGTGATGTGAGTATGTGGCTAACTTGAATGTGTTCACCTTTATCTTGTGGATGATGGGATCATACCGGAGAACATGACCCACTGACAGCATCACACCGCTCTGAGTGCAAGCCTCCACAATCGCAGTGCAGTCTTCAGCAGTTGTCTAAAGTCATGTGAACAGATGAGTGTCACACAAATACATTGATAGAATGAAAAAAAAAAAAAAAAGGAGGGAAGGGAATTTCAGCGTTTCATGCCATATGAATGAAATCACACTGAAATGTGAGGGACAAATACAGTGCGACATGTTTTTTTTCAAAACAGAATTACAAACTAACGTGCAAGAAATTACTTTAAAATCAACCTGTGGGATCATTAACACTCAGATGAAAGTTAAAGTTATGCTCTATGTTAATATGGTTTATGTTTAATCTCATTTACAAATCACTCACTGCCATTGGTTTTTCCAGCAGAATATGGTAGCCCATCTTTGCAAAGGCCACAGCAGGTTCCTGGAAAAGACAAACTAGTTTAATAGGGTGAGTAGCCAAGAAACAATAACAAAGTTCCCAAATAGACCATTTTAACACCAATAATAAGGGGAGACTCGAAGGCAGGACATTAGTGATGACATCTACTATATGGAAAGAGATATGTTCTGAGAATTCAACAAATGACGTTTAGTGAAAAATGAGAAACAGAGACACTGACTTCAGTTTTGGTATTTATTCTGCAATCACAAAATTAAACAAAAATGACTCAAAAGATTACAATTTCAGTGTTTCATATACATACACATAGTTTGTTTACCTTATGAAGGCGGTCTGGAGTACAAATTAACACAGCATCTGCAAACTTCTCTCTCTCAACTATACTGTGCCAGTCTAGTTTGAAAAATAGAGCATTCAACAGTTTAGCATGTAGCAGAAAATAATAAACAATAAAATGCATTTTTTTCTTTTGATGCTCACCATCAAATGTGTTTTCATCTGTGATTTTGTGTTGCTGTTGAAGTTTAGTGCGAGCAAACTTCCTAGGATCAGCAACTCCAACAACCTGAAATGGTGAAGTGAGAGTAAACAAAGTGGGCATAACAAATGCTCTGTTACAACATTACAACTTAACACCTGGGCCATGGTGGAAAACGTCTTTGGATAATTTTCTTAATTAGCAATACAGCAGGGAAAAGTATTATCAGCAAGATGAACTGAAAGGCTCATGAAAGCAAAATCAGGACACTTAAGGAACTATTCAATTCACTGTACTCTTTCAACCTATATTGTCACTGAAAACATGGATTTGATTTGAGGCTCTCCTTATACTGTGACATAAAGTTTTCGATGATACTTTACATGTTTCTTTCACATAAGTGTCCTGCCAATGATCTTTTCTGGTGTCAGAGAATGCTTTTTATCGGTACTGTCAATAAGAACATAATCCATTTATCAGTCTACTGAATTGCCTTCTTTGTTGACAACATAGGGAACCTCTCCTGACCTTCATGCGATCAGGATGGACGGATGCAAACTTGGAGTAGATCTCCCCTCGACAGCCAGCTCCCACCACGATGACACGGACAGGGGGAGTCATTTTGGCGCCCTGTGAACTTTAACACAAAGCTTGTAGACACACCTTACACCTAACAAAATTAAATCGTCAGCCTCAGGTGATCGAACTTCACCTCGACATCATACTTCCTACAGTCTGGGTGACTACATCTACAGTTCTACAGATATAGATTAGCCATTAGAGTAGCCCACAAATATATATTAAAGAGAGTTTCTGGTACATAATAAGTGTCAGTTTATAGCACGGCTGTTTGGCTCAATACCTGTTTTGTCCCATGCGGCTGTCAAAACCTTCTGCCTGTCTTCTGTGTCGGTCCAATTACGTGCAGCCACGACAATAAACACACCGGCGTCCACACAACGAATGACAACCACAGACTGTAAATAAAGATGGACGTAGCCTCCGTGACGTCACCCACAGGTTCCTGACGAGCGGGTTTGACGCGTGGATGTATCAGCATGGCTGTCTTATAATACATCCATGGTGCCGACGTTTTTATATAGTCTATGATGACAACCAGCGGAGTGGTTCACTTGCTCGAGCAATAAAGCCAAGCGAAAGCAGTCAGCGACTCCTTACCGCCCCCTACAGTGTGGAGTATGTCCAGCGCAGTGAATGGAGCAATTCACTGCGCCTGGTTACTGCCAGGTCTTAGTCTAAAATCCAAGTTTGCTGAACAGGAAATGCACCATATGCATAATGCAGATAATATAGACATCACACGTCTGGAGATGATCAGTCATCCAGGTAATATGATATCAGGAAATGTATGGGATATAGGCTAGTCCTCTAAAAGTTTAAAAAAAAAAAAAAAAAAAAAAAAGAAATTTTGTAATAGTTTAAGTTCTGATTTTTTAATTTAATTTCATGAGAAAAACGGATATATTGTTTGATTGTATTTTGTTTGAGTGAAATGTAAACAATGCATCAATGAAGGATTTCCGAATTAATGATTGTAGAAGTTTGAAATCCGTAAAATGTTTGTAACAAGGCGTGAGCTTCACTGTCCAGAAACTTGCTATGCTCAAAAGGGTATTTTGCAAAGGGCCGGTCCATCACAATTTAACACTTGTCTCAGATTTTCCAAAGAGATTTTCCGACATCACCCGAAGGCAACATTTTTAGCTTTTCGTATTATTATTATTTTTTGTATTCTATGTATTTTGCTTATTGTGTTTTATAATGAAGGATATGTTAAACCTATAGGTTCACATATCACAATTAACAGTTAGTAGATATATGGGTTTGACATATGGGGCTGGAACGTTACTAAATCCTTGTTACTCGTTATCTGTTAGCTATAGTTAGCTGCTGACACAACTTAATAAAATAAGTCCACAATCCAACATGCAAATACTAAGAATATTTCCAAACGATATCAGTGGCAAAGTAGAGGGTCTTCGGATATCTCCGGCTATCTTCGTCAGATCCGATTTATACGTAATGATAGGGTCATATGACGCTATTACCTCTGCAGCGTGTGGTCAGCTTTCTGTTGCACGATAGCTACAAACATTTCTGATGCTAGCTAACGCTTGAATCTGTGATTTTAATATCCTCCGACTTATAAAAGTAGCTTTACTTTACAACACACTTCTTTGTAGAGGCCTAGTTTTAGAGCTATACACACGGAGCCGCGTTTTTCAGCATATTTGGACGTTTCTCTCCGCTAGCTAGGCAAGGTTAGCGCGTTAGCTAAGATTAACATCAACATGAACATTGACAACGTTAACCAGTCCGTCACAACTGGAGTGCCATCTACAACGTCTTCAACTTCAAGCAATTGTATCGCAAATGATAATGCAACAACCAACGTCAGCAGCATCCCTTCGGTCACGAGCAATGGTAACGTTATGGGATTTTGGCTAATGTTATTATGCTAAACACTTAGCTTAGTTTAAGGTAGGATAGTTAGTGTATTGTTTGTTCTTCAGATGGATGATATGTTTGCCTGACACTATATATAGTATAAGTTATAGTTATATAATTTGGCAATTTATTGGGTACATCTAGCTTAAACTGATGATGTCTAATCCAACAGTGCAGTTATAATGTTCAGGTTCTATTGAAATCGTTTGAAATTGAAATTGAGAGGAGTTGAATCAATTGTAATCATTTTGAAGGATGTAGATTGTGGTGCTATTGAGGTATATTTTAATATACAGTGACGTGTTTTTTATTTTATTTATCTTACCCTCATTGATTTGAATTGGGTGTAAAAATACACGAAACACCTGTCAACGTAACGCAGTTGACAGGGCACAAGCTGCAGCCTCTAAAATGATCATACAGTTGAATCAACATATTTAACACGGTGTAAACAAAAACTTACCATTGTAACTTCAAAGAAGGTAGGGTTTATTGCAGGACTATTGTATTAGATTGCATTAGTTTTCGCTAGGGCTTCCTAAAAAAACTTATGACTGAGTATATACAAAAGTATGTTTAGCATTTTTCACGCATCATCATGTGAACCTGGACTTTTGTGAAACACCTGTTTGAAAACATGGTTTGTAGTTGGTACAAACTTATTTGAAACTTAGTACTGGAAAACACTTTTCCCTGGAAGTAAAAACTGGAATCTCTCATTATGTGTCCAATGCTGTAGATGGATATACAATATTGTTTCTTTGATTCAATATGAACTCATCTCAATAACTTCTATCACAGCTTCCGCATCAGCGGCCATGGTGACACCAGCAGCAGACACATCTGTCTCCAATGGTGTCTATGTGCCTGGTGGCATCACCAATGGAGATGTAAAACCTGCCGTCTCCACCACACCCCTGGCAGATTTTCTCATGCAGCTGGAAGAGTACACTCCCACAGTAAGTCAAGCATTGTCAGTCACCTTACTATATGCTGCATTCACACATAGGGACACATTGTCAGAAAGATCAGTAACTCAAAACACTGCATGTGTCCACATCATTAACAGCTTAATGCTGGCTAATGTTGGAAACACCTGGCAAGGTTTTCTATTATGCCAGCTACAGATAACATCACTAAATCCAATGAAATTCAGTTGAGAAACTCTTTATATATAAAATATGCATTGGTACAGTTTGTCTGTTTTTGGCTTATCCAGTGAATTAAATAACTGGAAAATCTAAGCACTACATCACATTAATGCAGACCTCCTGTAAATCCAGTACTGCCATAAAGATGTTCTGCTGAATAATTTTCTTCAGTATGATCAGTGTAATAAACCAGGTAAATTGTTGACATGAAATGAACATTCATGACAACCTCATATTCCACTACCCCCAATAAAGATGAAATTGCATTACTACAACCACTGTCCTCCCAGAGAGTGTATCAGAGTTCTGGCTACAGGAAATTAATTTGATCATCACTGAATGGTAGAGACACAATAATAATGTTCTTCACAAATACCTGTCTGTAGCAGAGAAAGCGGGCTATGTGAAACTTGAACACAAGCTGAATTCTGCTCTTTTTTTCTTTCTCAGATTCCTGATGCAGTTACAGGGTACTACCTCAACAAGGCTGGATTTGAGGCTTCTGATCCAAGAATGTAAGTCCTACCAATGCTACCTGCAAGTTTCAGTGTGAGTCAAGTCTCATTAAGAGTTTAAAAATCTCAGAAACTAAATCTGAGTTAATTGTTTAAATTATCAATTAAAAAAATCCCTTGCAAGATAGCAGGCAGTGTACTTAGAGTCTTTATAAAGGATCATGAGTCCCTTTGACTAGTATTTAATCAATAACCTGTGGCAAGCTAGAACCATGCCACAGTTTGACTGACACAGTAGAATGGGAATTGTGTTGGACAAGATGAGAAAGTGAAATGGTCATTAATTAAAAGATAAAAAAAGATCTGGACATTGCCATATTGCCTCATTGCCACATCTGAAAATTTTTTTAGTATGTTTTATTATATTTACAATGATTTGGGGAAACAAAATCTGCTTAATGTGCCTTGGTACAAAGTGCTATAGTCTCCATTTGTGATGACGGCTGTGCTGTTTAAAAGATAATGATAATTCCTGAGTGGTTCCTTGATGTTCAGTTGACCATGCCTGTCTGACTTTTATCAAATGGGGTTTTCATTTATTTTAAGAAAGACAAGCTGTTGTATATCTGTAAACTGGTATACAGTATACATTAGTACTGCCACTAATTTGAGCATAAAATACATACTCTTAAGCCTAGTAGGCCATTGATGGACATTTTTCTGATAAATGCTTATATGATGTCTTGGAAATGAAAATAAGATCACAGGGTTGACTTTTTTCCCATGATAGACAGTCTGGCTGTGTACAGAAAGAAAAATCCAAAGCAACGATTTCCTTTTTCCACCTCTACAGAATCCGTCTGATCTCCCTTGCTTCTCAGAAGTTTATCTCGGACATTGCCAATGATGCGCTGCAGTACTGTAAAATGAAGGGAACTGCCTCAGGAAGCTCGAGGAGTAAGACAAAGGTCAGTGTCTCATTTTTACATGCACTTCAAATGTAATACCTCCATACAATATTTTGACAGTGCTGTACGTTAGAAAAGGGGAGTGTTGATAAAAGATCAAATGCTCTGATCATCATTTTGTTTCTGTTCATGGTGTTCTCATTTTCTGCCTTCTCCGTGTACAGGATAAGAAGTACACTCTGACTATGGAAGACCTGACTCCTGCCCTTTCAGAATATGGCGTCAATGTCAAGAAACCATATTACTTCACATAGAATTGTCTTTCTTCAAGGCTTTTGCTTTTGCTAGGTTTATCTCCCTGCTGACCCACTAGTCTGTTAACACCTTTATTGTTCAATGTTTTTTGATCGCAGTGCTTTAGTACAGCCTTGACAAATCTTTGTTGTCACTTTGCCATTTGCTATTTTTTGTGGAGCCACCTTTGCATTATGTTAAATTGTAACATTACATTTTATTGTGAAAATAAAATCCATAACAAAAACCTTGACATGTGTCCAAGATGTTACATTTGTCTGGTTAAGTGTTCCTTAGTAATACTGTGTGGATGTAGTTGGTGCAACAGTGGAAGAAGTGTTCTAATACTTTAAAAAAAAACAAAAAAAAAACAGGTCCTCTAAAGTGTACTCAAAGTAAACATTGGTTATTTAGTAGAGAGGATTATTGGAAAGGATGTTTTAAGATAAATAAAATTGGAAATTGTGAAAGAGTAATGTAAAACCAGATTGCTATTATTTGCTGATTGACCTGTTAAAAGATATGGAATTAGATTTGTCTCAATATTTGTGACGACAGATCGACAGTCGTATGTAAGTGCTATCTGTGAATATAAATCACCTTCCACAGCAATCCAGGATTCTGTGTGGGCATTCACTCCAATAAAAACTTCAATAAAGGTGGAATTAGGGGCTTCACAAGCACAATGCAAAAGCACAAGAAACACGAAGCTCCGTAATTATTACAGGCATTTTTGGTTTCTTGTCACCCAGCTCAACTGCAAAGTTACGTCACCACCAGGCGGCACCTTTGAGAGATTAACCAAGCTCTTGTTGTAGCGCCTTTTCCGTAACTTGTCTCTCCTGAGCCACTGTAGGTCCAAACGGCGCATGTGCACAATGTTCAAAGTACTTGGGTGAAATTCAAACGGTGAATTACTATAGTCTCAAAAAGCGAGGAAATTTTCACAATGTCTCTGCTGTCAACAAATCCCAACAACCCCATAGTTTTCTTCGACATCACCATTGGAGGGCAGGTGAGTAGAAAAATGGATTTGGCTAACAGCGGCTTTAGCTTCCAGCTAACGTTCAGTCAACGTTTCCACATGTCACCAGTCTCAACACAATGTCTGTTTTTAGTTAAAAGTTGTGATCCAGTGAACACCACCAACGTGCTGTTTAAACGGCTGCCTTTTATATACATGTGATAGTAACACAAGATGGACTTTCCTCTCAGCAGGGTGTTTTGTGATGAGCGTCTTGTAGCGTGGGTGAGGTGAGGTGTGAGTGCTATTGTCTTCTCCACATAATATATGTCTATAGCTAATGAGTCAGTACTTGTCTTAGAGCTGACCTTAAAGTTCATAAGCAGAAAGCCAAATATATTATCCCAATGTTTTATCCTTCTAGTTTATGGACTTATAAAATGCATCAAACTGACAGTTGAAATGCTACAGGGGAAAAGCAGGTGGTGCTGGTGTTGGGTTTTTGAGAAGAAGTGTTGTGGAATGAACTCTTAACTACCTTTGGACAAAATTACAAATGAGCACAATGTAGAGTCAGAACCTACACCCATACCAGGAAAAATAAATACAAAGTTTATGTCTGTTACATAAATCTAGAAATTAACTCACATGACAACATACCATGGTACATTTTACGCTCTAAATTTATATGACTTTGAATAGCAGTTTGTTTGACCTAGTATCAACTTACTTCTATTTACCTACCTTGCTTTTTTTATCCTGGCACTTTTGTATCTTGCCTGAGTGCACTTAACTGCACTCAACTTAAAGAAACGAAATGTAATATTCCCCCTTTGGTTATAGTCTTTCTCTTAGGTCTTACAGCTCTCACAAGAAGAGAAATTGTTGAGGTATAATAACCAAAACTCTGCATTGTGAATGTGTCTTACCTTTGCCTTGAGCATGTCAGCACAAATGGTCAATATACTTTGTCATTTTAGAAATACAGCATTGACTAATACCTTGTGTTAATGGTTAAGGATACATTTAGTGCTTCTTAAAATAAGGAAGCTTCAGTGAACACTTTTAATGTGTTTATAGTAAATGTGTACAGTGAATGAAGTCAGTGACACAGAATTCAAAATGATTTATAGGATTTCCTGGTTCTGGTATATCCTTTGTGGATTATGATTCCCTTTAAAGGTACAGTCTGTGGTCCAGTCAGCCCACAACAAAACTGTGGAGCACAAGACTGGGACCTGCTATCACTTCCATACTGACAGTTCTTTAAAAGCCCCTGATTGGTTTCAAATCAAAGCACCATTAAATAATCATGAATAGAAAAAGTCGATAGACAAAGAGAAAACAATTCTATTCTACTCTATTCTATTCTTGGGTTTGATATGTAACAAATCCAGTTCATCTGGTCTGTGTCCATGTGAATTATTCAGTGCTGGCAACATAAGCAAACAATGATGTGCATATTGTGAAATATTATCTGTTGTCATCTTTTCCCTACTGAGCCCCACCCACTTAAAGACAGTGAGAAGCACAGACAGAAATCTGTTAAGTGAAATAAGGCCTTATTAATACGTTAATATTTACAAACACTAGAGTAAAATAGACCTATATATGAATTATGACTAATTGAGAAAAACACAAATGGCTAATTCTAAATTGATATTTGCATCAAACTCTTCAGATAGGTTGAGAAAGCAGTCTCACTTCAAATTTCTTAGCACTTTTAGGACACCTTGCCCACACTGCGTTAGAAGCTCAGGTTCCAAGTCCATTATTGAGCAACCAATCTCATCATCACAAGGTCCATTGAGTAGCTGTTCTGGAGCTCCTTGATCATATCACATGACCTTCATCAAGGGCAAGAATGAATACATTTACACATACACATACATTTGTTTTTATATAGGGCTTTATGACAAACATACAAATTCATCTAGAAAATATAAGATCTATGTTGATTTCTATAAAAAAAAAACAAAAAAAAAACAAGTTTTGTGTAATGGCCAGTTTTTACTTTGCTGCTTAACTCTTCAAAGAATGACATTTAGAAGTCCAGTCACAGTTTCATGTCAATGTTTTCCTGTTTAATTCTTTGCTCCAGGGAACTTGTGCATGTGCTGATGGAGAGATGAGGGATGCAGCTTTTTGACTGTCAAAGCATAGGTGAACTGCTCATAGAGGCTTGGTCATTCTCATGAAGTCTTAATTCACTCCCTCACATCATGGTTTTCATTTTCAGCATAGGCTGTCAGGTCTGGTCTGTTACACGTAGAGAAGAGTGCTTCTCTTCCGTTTTGACGGGTTAAACACACCTGTAGGGAGCTGCTGCTGCCATGTTCCTTTGCTCAAATGCCAGTAAACGTGGAATAAACACACATTTTCTGGTAGTTGGCTGTATGGCCCAAGCCACTTGCTCTTTAACCAGAGCACCACAACCACCAGTAAACTGTTGGTGCACTCCAACCAAAGAAGGTTAACACTGATGTAGGCTGGTACTCCATAGCCTAAGACCAGACAAGCCACAGATACTATAAGATAAGGCATCCAGATTGTAGTAAAGCCCAGAGTTAGGCTGAACCACAGAGGTGGTCGTGGCTGGGTGGTCTCCAGGTAATACTCCTTGCTGCTCTTTGTCTCTGTGGAGGGGGTTGAGATGAACAAATCACTCCCCTGGTTCTCTTGCTCTTCCCTCAATTCAGATATCCTGTCAGCCTCTTTCACCCACTGGGTAATTCTTGAGCAAAAGGGCAGCATTGTAAAAAATACTGTGGTGAAAAGCCCCAAAATAAAGTACGGGACCAGTGTGGACTCCTCTACTTCACACACCACGGCCTTTATCCCTGTCACATAATCCAGTTCCACCATCTTAGCTTTCACAGAACTGAGGGAGTAAATAACAGCTTGCGTCCACACCAGCAATGTCAAGACCATGTTCCTGAGGAATTTGCAGAAGGTGCTCTGCCTGCCAATGTTGGTATCTTCTATACAGTAGTCTAGTAAACCCAGGCACATCATGGGTAGTGTTAGTGCTCCAAATGTTGCTGAAGTATGAGCCAAAAAGAGGCAGGCTGACACAGGAGACCTTTCAGCCCCAAGAAACCACACGGCTGCCATACAACATGCCACCAACACATCAGCCAGGACGATGGACATGCTACACAGGCTTAAAAAGGAGGCATGCAGCTTCCGGCAGCACAGGTAAAAAACCACTGCGTCCAGTCCCAACTTGAAAAGCAGAAGCACCAGATACTTCTCAGTGTTGTCTGTCTGACAGCCAGATCCATCCTCCCATTGCTTCATAATGGCCAGCATTTTGACAGAGTTGCTAGTGGACAGAGTCTCTGTCAACTCTGGCGGCATTTCAGTTACTGCACCAGTGCTCAGTTCAGTATCAAGGTGCTTCAGGAAAAGCTGTAAAAAAAAAAAAAAAAAGAAAAAAGATAATGTTGGTTAAGAACTTTGGCTCTACAAGCTATAGACTGCAATTAACAATTAAAAACAATGCATCTTATCTCGTCATCAATTTAATCAGGAGATGACAGCCTTAATGACAGTCATATTGATAGATTATATTGTCATAATTTTTGCTGTGTGGGAAGAGTGCCTCTGCTCTTTAATGTTATATTTCACAGTAAATTCATATTTAGCAGTGGTTTTAGTTTCAGGTGAGGTGGTCTACTTCTGCTATAAAACACTGTGGAAAACCCTTGCAGACAGTACAGACTCATTTATCACTCTACAAAATGACACATGTAGAAAATCTCGATCTTCCTTTTAAAATCTTTACACCAGAAACTCTGCTTTTGCATGGTTGTGAAACTATTTGCATTTCTTCTCCTGTAAGTTTTAAAATTAAGTTAAATTTAACTAATCATAACACAATTGATTAATGTTACTTTAACAAAACTTTGTCTTAATGAAAAACTATAGACCAAAGTCATGCAGGTTGAACAATAAGGTGTTTGGTCAGTGTAGAGCAGCAGGTAGAATTGTCTGTTTGCTTTCTTGCTAGAAAGTCATCAAACACAGATCACACTGATTTGCCTCAGCAAACTTCACATTTAGGCCATATTGTAAACACTGGTGATTCCAGGATCTCTCACTCTGTTTCATACACTGACAATTTTCCATTTTTTCATTTTGACTTTTGTCATTACAGTTTTGAAACACACTTTGGTTTTTGAATGTGTTCTATTAAAACTAAAAGTTAAAACAGCTTTTTTTTCTCATCAATCAATTCTGACTTCCAGTCAGTTGTACAGTCAGCTTAATGTCAATTATACATTGTTAAAGCAGTGGTATTCATCTCAGCAGCACACACACACCATCCTGAATTTCCACATTACTTGTAACATTGATGACAGGTAAAGTGAGTTCTGCTACGTGAAGCATGCAGCATTTACATAACAAGGAAGAAAATCAAACACTTTTCTCTGGCCTGTACCTCTCTGCTCAAGGTTATCGTGGTCCAGCGAGTCTCAGTAGAGATCCAGATGCTTAACCCTTGTCTGGCAGTGTGAGCTAGAAGCCCTGCATGCTTTCACTGAGACTCATCGGTGCAGGTGTATGACTGCTGTCAAGTGGAGTTATCCTTTAAGCTGCTCTTTGTGGCTCCACCTTTCCGTGAATGCAAACAATTGATGGGACACGCCTTTGTTGTCTTCAAGGAAACCTGCTTGTTTTCCCTCTTGTATGCCCCAGAGGTAACTGCCTCTTTTTCTATTGATTTAAATGTCCTGTGACAAGTAACCCTAACAATGCTTGTTAGTTGAAACCGCACCCTATGACTGGTTTTGTTCACTTACACTATGTCCCTATACAATTACACAGCATCAAGTATTGAATGTTGGAGGCCTGAGGTGGCTTCAGAGAAATACTTGCTACTAAACTAACAAGAACAGCTGCTCTGCTCATACTCTGCTTTTAATGACATTCTTCACTCAGTCTGTTGAAAAGTTAGCACAGTTAGATGTTATCAGCAACTATACTTGGCCTCTGGCTGCAGTATTTAACTGTTGGGTACTGTCGCAGAACTGTCGACCTGTAAGAGTAAGACCTTGGTTTAAACAGTGGGAAATTTGAATGAACAGAAATAGTCAGTTACAAATGAACCTCTTCAGGTCCTAACATGACTCTTCAGAGTTTATGGTGCAACATGCACAGACATCTGTTTTACACGACGTTACCTGTAAAAATTAAAAGGGGTCATGATTGTTTAATTTACTCTCACAGTTTGTCACAGGTTCTTGGTTTGATCTGTTTGCTGTGTGCAACTGTTTGCTTTCAGTGTGAATATTATAGCTCCATGTACTTATAGGTACATGCTGCAGGAGAGTGGGTGTGTTAGATATGGCTCTCCCTGGACTTTGGCCCGTTTAACATGGCTGTTAAGTGAAGTCTTAATATGTGTCTAAAGCAGTTCAGAGCGCTTGATACCTTCTCTCATCTTCCTTACAGTTTATTTTTCAGTTTCAAAGAATTCCAAGTGATCTTTGAAATCATCTGACACAGTAAAGCATCGCAGTAAACAGTATAAATTCTTCACAATGTAGACACTGAAATCTACATATATATGTCTGATTAGAAACAACATGACTTTTATTACATGTTGCACGCTGTCTTACCAGTTGTTGGGAACTTGTCTTCAGGGGACGTCACACTCCAGTCAGAGAAAACCCCCAGCAGATAAAATGTTCTGCGGTTGATGATTGTTCCATGTCATCGCACTCAGCCTCTGTTTCATTTCATCGCTCCAATATTATCAATATACTGAGTTGTCTATGTAGAAAAGTCAGGAGATCTGATGGCTGCTTGTTTGACAGTGACTCGTTTGCAGAGACTGAGGGGACAGTTGTGCAGTGATGTCATGAGGACAAACCACTCTTCTTACACCAGCTCATTGTTTGTTTTCACACAGACACACTGACGTTGTTGTAACAGTCGGCCACTTTGCATGTCCCTCTCGGTTGTGGGAAGCCTGGGTGGACACATACCCATGCTGCTGAATGCACACACACACACACACACACTCATGAACACAAAGCTCACGGAGGATTTAATGTCCAGTAATGTTCTGCGTCCTCACATTTACATATTTCTATTATGTATGTTTTGACCCCTGAGAGATGGTGGCAGACATGGGACACAGACTAGAGTAGATTTAATGTTCTCAGCAAAATCAACAAAGAACTGAAAGATGTAAAAGGAATAAGCGAAACATGTCATTGTACTCAATGTCAGAAACTGAAGGTGAAGTCCTATACTAGTTATTGAATAGAAATATAAGTACTGTATATATCAGTAGAACATATCCTGGAGCTAGATACTGTTACCAAGTCAGAGTGTAACTGGTCAGTCCAGGTGAGGTCGTCAGAGTCGTAGAGCAGCCTCCACGAGCAAGATTCATTCGTTTCCATTCATCTGTTCTCTTGTGCCATCTTTTCAGGTGTATATGTTCCTCTCTTCACTGGATATCTCTTGTTGTGTGTGTTGTTTGTGCGTTTGTCAGGATGTTGGACGGATGAAGGTCGAGCTGTTTGCTGATGTGGTTCCCAAGACGGCAGAAAATTTCCGGTAAGGAGAAAGTCTGCATCGCAGGCTGCTCACATTATTGGATTACATACTCTGTTTTGTTTTGTTTTTTCATTTTTATATATTGTGATTTTTTTAAATTTTTTTTTTAATGAGATGTCACAGGTATATATGTTAACATGGATTATTTATTATCTCTTACAGGCAGTTCTGCACTGGAGAGTTCAGGTAAGGTGGAAGGTTGTATTCTTCCCAATTTTGCATAGTAAGGTCATGCATTCATGCAGTGTGTTTACATACACTTCCAGTATATATAGAGCATTCCAAGTCCAAGCATTTGGCAGTTACCTGATATTTGAACATGAAAACGAAATAACCTGTTTTCCTTTTATTAGGTTAAGAGATCAATAGAAAACTGGTTAACAGGTTTCTATGAGCCACATCCCCCATATGCATATGCATATCAGGTCTTTAAAGGATATTTACATGTCTGCATATCAAAGAACCAGGGGCCAATACATGAAGCAAGTTCAGCTTAGTCTAACTTTATTGGGGTTAGATGCTTCACTGAGCCTAACATCACCTGTCCTGAATAACCAGTATCACAAACTGCTTATCAACCAACCAGTTAACTCTGGGTTTTCATATTTGGCTATCACTGTGTTCATATAAAAGAGCTAGAGTTGTTCATGAGAAGTGACATTGTCAGAACCATGAATAAAGTGCTACCTGCATGTAGATTTGGTTATAGCAACAGCAGAAAGTGATATTCCACCAGCTGACATGTAAACAATATGATCACATAACTAGCATATGATAAGGAGCTGGAGAAACACCAGAAATAATTTCCAAATATTAAATAAGGCTAGGGATATTCTGTAAATAAGTGCAGGAATTATTACAAGTATCTTTAGTATATGACAAAGAAACCTAAACATATATATGAAGCACATAAACAAGTTAAAGCTTATGTCAGACTGTTTCTGCTGTAGCAGAGATTGAGGAGAGAAGTTAGTTAATGTCTGATGAGGTTTACATGACTGAATTGGTGCATTTATAATTGTGGGAAATGTTTAATATTTATTTAATATTTATTTTATGATCACAAGGTCATCACATAAGACTATAAAAGCATCAACACTGTGATGTCCCTCCTGGCTGACCTCAGCAGGCAACTGGTTTGACACGGGAGGGTCATCAGCTGATGCAGTTTACCTGGGCCTTCCAAACTGTAAAAGCTGGCCCATTTGCTCACTTCCGCTTTCCAACTGCTGACATCCACTTTCATGCCATGCAGCATAAATTACCATGGTGATTTACCCCAGTTAAAAGTCAGACAGTTTTGTGATACTGAAAAACCTGAGTTAAGCCCAACGATAGCTGGATAAGTCACTTATCTTGCTTTGTGGTACAGATCCCAGTTCAGAGAGGTATTGTTGTACCAGGAGTAAAGTAAAGTAGGATGAAAGAGCTGTGCCTCATTGTATCAAACAAAAAATCAATCAATCAATCAATCAATCAATCAATCAATCAATCAATCAATCAATCAATCAATCAATCAAAATAATAAAGTACAGATTAGATGGGTGTCTGTAAAATTCAAATGTGCATGTGCAGTAATGAACCCTATGTGTTCTACTTGGGCCTCTCATTGTGCCTTCAGTCCAAATTCTCTGCAGATTCTTTAAGAATGATTTGTTACATTTAACTAAACAAGTTTTTATATGGCCTTGTGACCCTGTGAGCCAGGATACACTGAGCCATAACCTGCTGTAGGAAGCACAACACCTAAATTGTCTGCAGAGAAAAAAAACAGCCTAATGTTATTCCTACATCTGAATGGACTTATTTGGAAAAATCCAAAGGAAGCTTTTAATGCTGCCAGCTTTAAACATGGCTATAGATCTGCACTGAAGTTGATAGACGCTCTTCATGCTTGTCAAACGTTTTCATGAACACACTACAATCCTTTTAAATGATACAGAGAAAAACCTACTTTGTGAGAGGTGATAGCTTGTAATACACTACAGTGTGTTTTGTCTTTACTGTTGCTGTCTCAAACATCTGTCCCACAGGAAGGATGGAGTCCCCATTGGTTACAAAGGCTGCACATTCCACAGGTACATAACATGGCGGCTTGATTTGTACAGCTCAAATCGTACTGGAATGTTGGAAAGATGTTAATGGTTTTTTATTACTTTGTATATTATTTTTAATGATTTCAACTCAACTTATTACCTCCAGCCTCTGTTGGCTTTTAAAGGTGTTATTTAAACTGATGGTCTTCTGGTTGGAACAGCCTCTCCTGTTTCCCCTAATATTTATTGTTATTATTCATTTGAAGTTTGTTTCTAAAAGCAAAAGTAAAAAAAAGGAAAGATTTCTAATCATTAGTCACCTGGATTAAACAGTGTCATATCTTATGGGAACCATCAAAAGTATTCACCCTCCTTTGAGGTTTTCTTATTGTCTCTAATAAAAATAGATTGAAAGTGCCTTTGCTGGACACTGATCAACAGAAAAAGGTGAAAACTTTTTCTAGGCACAGTATCAGCATGTCTCAGACTGCCTGGCTAAATCTGTGTTTTTGTATAACAGTTTTCCTACCTAAGATTAGGTTGAGCTTTTCAGCAAAACTGAATTCACTGATGTTTTCAATTGTTCTTTGGCAGGGTGATCAAAGACTTTATGATACAAGGAGGGGACTTTGTAAATGTAAGTACATGCACACCTCGTCTGCTGTCTGATTGGTTTTCCTGTCACATCTGTAGGAACAGTAAAACACACAACACACATTACGTTCCTGTACATGAAGTTTCAACCAGACCATGAAAACGTCATGTAAATCAAATGATGAATGTCACTCAAGGGTTACTTCCTGTTTTCAGTAGGTGGTGCTATGACAATGATGTCATAGGAGCATGCAGATGTCTCCAATGTGGGGACTGTCATCAAACATGAAGTTTGAGGAAGATTAGACAAAGTATATTATAGTTATAGCAACTTCCTGTTTCATTGGGAAACATCAAAATTTGCCACACCGTTTGACGAAAACATACAATTTCCAGCATCACTAAGGTGTTAAGCATTTTCTGACCGAGGTTGGGACAGATTGGAAAAGGTATAATAGAGTTATAACAACTTCCTTGCAAAATTCGCCACACCACCAGAGCCACGCCTTCAAATGAAAACTCACAATCTTCAGAATCAAGCATCATGAAGTTTGGAAGTTTTTTCTGACCATGTTTGAAGTGGGTGCAGTCAACTTGCCAGGAGGAGTACATCAAATCCCATAACATTAAATTTCCTAGGACTATAACAGAATTTTGCCATGTAGATGTCTTCAGGCTGGGACTCTTATCAAACATGAAGTTTGAGGCAGTTTGGACAAGGTGTGCAGGAGTTATAACGGGTTAAATTTTCATGGCGGATCATCGAAATTCACTGCACCGCCACAGGCAAGGCCGTTCAATGACACGGCAAAACTCAAAGTTGTGTAATTTTGCGTTTCAAACTTCGTAAGATGAGACTCACCAAATATGATCTGATTAATTTTCTAGGACGAGTTCATTAAATTCCAATGTCTGTAAATGCCAAAAACAATGCCAAAATTGCACAGTAAATTCAAAATATCTAATTTCCTGTTGGGATTAGGATATGGTGACATGTTACATGTGCCTACCGAATTTCGTACATGTAGGTGAAACAAGTTGTGAGTAGTGCCCCATTGAAATTTTCGAGGGGGCGCTATTGGGCCATTTGGCCACAGCCATGAGCAAGACCCACAAAAAATGTAAATTTTCACCAGGCCTGACACGTGTGCAAAGTTTCATGAGTTTTTGAGCATGTGTAGGCTTAAAAAGGTGATTTATTTTGGAGGAGAAAAAATTCTGACAAACAAATTACAACAGGGTCGTCACACCGGTCGGTGTTCGGGGCCATAATAAGTCTTCCCATGATGTCCGACAAACTGCAGTTGAACTTTGAACTGACCCGGCAGAAATACTTTGGTGTGTCACCCTCTGGAGGACATGTGATGAATTACAGCACCACGAAACGTGTTGATTGTATTGTAGCTTTCTCAGTTGAAAGCCCTGTCTTGTTTGTCTTTGTGAAGGGTGATGGTACTGGGATCTGCAGCATCTACAGAGGACCATTTGCAGATGAAAACTTCAGAATGAAGCATTCTGTGCCTGGTCTTCTGTCCATGGTATGTATGTAGATCAATTTATTGATGTTAGGGACACTCCTGAATCACAAAAAGGTCTATTTACTTTGACTTCAGCCAAATCAACATGGGGGGTTTCCTCCAATTTTCTATGCTCTGTAAAATAAAAAGTTAATTAGGATTTGATTAATCCATTCAAAGTGGACTGACCACAATCTCTATAGACAATAGGATTTGATTAATACATTCAAAGTGAATTAACTCTGGCTTTAATATGTTTAAAACTGCCATTATTTCTCAGTAGTCTAAGTCTTCCTTTTATCTTCACAAATACTGCTTTTCAGGCAAACAGTGGTCCAGGGACAAATGGTTGTCAGTTTTTCATTACCTGTACGAAATGTGACTGGTTAGATGGGAAGCATGTTGTTTTTGGTGAGTAAGTCTACAGTACTAATTGTGCATTCATATTCATTTAGAGCTTTTCTAATTTGTTTATGTGTCAGAGTTTAATTGACTTGTTCACAACTGTTTCAGGAAAAGTGGTTGATGGTTTGCTGATCATGAGAAAAATAGAGGTAAAAACGAATTTGAATATTCATTCATATTAATGTATTGGTTTCAGTGGTTCAAATATTTCCTCCTCCTTTGGCAGGAATAAAAACTGATCTGTAAATTCCCAAAAATCTGAGCAAAAGAGTGACAGGAGGCGGCCAACTCATACTGTTGAAAACAAGAAAGTGTATTTAAGCTTGAACACAGTATAAAAATGTTGTGTGATAGCAGCAGGATATGAACACAACACAAGACAGCCTAGTCTTCTTCATACAGCAGTGTACTGATTTGTTATATGTCCTCTAATTATTTCACTCATCTCTCAGATCAGTGTCAGAATGTGTCTTAAATGCTTGTTTATCATCTTTGACAGGGTTCACTGTCCTGAATGTTATTATCTCCAGATTGATGTTGACTAACTTGTGTCATAAATGTTTGCAAGCAGGCGTCCTAGCTGCAACTGAAATCCAACAATGAGTGTAAAGTTTTAAAGTTGGGTTTTTAGTTCTAAATGTGTGTTCCTTCCTCCCAACAGAATGTCCCTACAGGACCCAACAACAAGCCCAAACTCCCCATCCTCATTGCGCAGTGTGGGGAGATGTGATCAGCTTTCTCACAACACCAGTGTAAAAACTACACAACCTCTGTAAACATGAAGCAGTGTCTAATTGTTGCTTGATACTCCTCAGCAAATATAAACCCACATATTTTTCCTGTATGGATGCCTTCTCCTAGAATGCACATTGTAAAGTTAAATTGTTAGTAATTATTAATTTGGTTAGTGTATGAAACATTCTCATTCCTCATTCAATGTCTCATTTATTATCAATAAAATGTTTTACATTTTTATAAACTTTTGGAGGTCATCTTGTTTGTTTGAAAAAAAAAAAAAAATTTGTAAATGACATCACACTTCAGATTTTTCTAACATGGCCCAGCCATGTTTTATATTGTCCAATGTTTTAATGGTCAATGTTATTCTCTCAGCAAATAGTAAAACACTTAATTGCTGTTAACCAGTTTCACAAAGTATGTCTGTGTACTATAATATTAACAGTAGCCGTGGAGTTTAAGACCAACTAAACTCAAATACTTATCTTATCAGGCCCTTTTACTTTGATCCACTTTTTTATTTGCCTTTTTTTAAATAAAGATTCACTCAAATGTGTATTGAAGAAGTCACATATCCATGGTTGGAAACTGCTCTGAATTCAATTTTGCATTTTAAGAACATTGTGTACCCAGTGTGATATGCATTGTTTTTGGTAGATTTTCTCAGCTAATTTTCTGCCCCGTAGAAAATGCAGGGATGTTTTCCTCACATTCTTTAGTTTGGAAAGAGATTGTAGTTATCATTTAGGAATTGTGCAGCGATGTGCAGCCCAAGTGGATTCTGAAGTGATAGTGGGTAATACTCAATCTTAGCCTTACTGCCATGGTGCAGAGGAGGGAAGCACTTTACAGTAAAAGGCACGAGAGTCCTCAAAGGCACACACTCCAGTGCCAAGCAATCCTCTGCTGAACTTATGGTTACCTCTTCTTGTCTTAGCCATCCATACAAATCTAAGCTCCCAGAGCCCCTCCCCCATCCACGCTCTCCCTCTTTTTGCCTTGGACCTTGTTCCATTGACACAAAAGAATCCTTTCAGATGTAGACTCTGTTCTTATCGAGGCAGGAAGAAGGTTGTTTTTTTGTTTTTTCTTTCTTTTTTTTTGAGGAGGGGGGTCTCTTCGTGGGGAGGCTTTCTGGGGTCAATGCTAAAGCCCATCTTTGTGTGGGAGAATGGGGCTTGGCCATTAACACCGAGTTCTTCACACATCAGCCAATGCTCATAAACCGTGCCAGTGGAGCATTAACATGACAATGGGTGGGGGGCTGTGGGGGGGTTGTCTTGCACTCAGTCTGGGTCTGTCTGCTCTGTGGAGTTTCTAAATTCACTCAGGATAGTGACAGATTTTACCTAGTTTATTGCGCTGGACAATTTGAGTGTATTACATAAGGATTCACTGTCACTATTTGAGCTCTTGTATATGTTCAAATTTAAGAGGGAGAACCATGTAAGACACAATTTACAGAAAGTAGGATTGACAAGATTTTAAAATTTCTTCCAATGAATCTAGAATAATTTCAATGATATGGCATAGTGAACTTGAATGCTCTGTGTTACATACTGTATGTGTGCTGAAATAGAGTGCACAGGTTGGTGAGAAATGTATTTTCTGTACAGCACAACAGTGGGTTCTCTTCCTAAATCTTACATGGTGTTATGTATGTTTGAGAGATACAACCACTGCAACCGTGACAGTGCATTAAACATGTTAGATATAACATGTACATCAGTTAAGTAAATAAAGGCCTTCCTAATCCTCCCCTTAATTTATGTCAGATATCTCTCAATACATTTCCACAGGGCTGCACTTAGTGCACATGATAGTGTGCGCAATATCTACAGGCATTTAATATTTTGTCATTAGTGATGGCAGCCATACAATCAACGTTTCCATTCAACTTTAAGTAGCACTCAGTTTACAAAGTTGAAATCATATTCTAAGGCTTGAGAGACAAATCTGAAAATCTAAAGTTTTTTTTTACTTCTCAATGGGCAAATGTTATTGGGTGGTATGGCATTTACACAAGCAAGAAGACACTGTTCCAAAAGTGTCAGTTATCTGTCTGACTCGTCTGGCTTTGACATCATTATGAAGCAGTGGAAATGGACAGGTACGTTCCCTTTAGCCAATCAATTTTTGCAAACGCGTATATCAAACGAAATTGACAGTTGTCTTAGCCAATAAGAACAGATTTTGTTTTCCGTTGATGATTCTAGCCAATACGAAGAGTCGTTGGGCGGTCCCCCAACCAAGAACATTCCCCGGCACAGTTCCACAGTCTGCCCAGTTCGATCGGCAACGGGAGCGGAAAGAGGAAAGCAGAGAGCCCGAAGGCAGTAGCCCCCACCACCGCCGGCCCAGGTTACCATCTAGCACCGGGAAACATAGCAGAGAGCCGCCGCCGGCAGAAGCCATTACCAACCAGTAGTAACCATGAGCAGCGAGGCCGAGACACAACAACAACAACCGCCGCAGCCTGCTGCCGATGCGGAGAGCCCATCCAGCCCGGCAGCCGCAGCTTCCGCGGGGGATAAGAAGGTCATCGGTAAGACTACGGGAAATTAGCTAGTTAGCTAACGTGGTTTGGGACCCAGTAGAAGCGATGCGGAAAATCGGCGGTTGCAAAGGTTAACGAGTCGATTGCTGGCCCAATTAACCGTTGGGTTTCTACGTTAATCTGACATTGTCGTCAACTCGCATAGAATATTTGAAATAAGCAGAGGGCCAAATAAACCTTAATTTCGCGAAAAGGCCGCTTATATTTCTGCATATTTTGAATAATTTGTGAGATGTCTGTAAAATAGTGGTGGATCTAAATAAAGTATTGGCTATTGTAGGCTTTATCTTTACCAAAGTAAAATTATTTCCTTTTGCTGTCAACTAGCGAAACAGTCTTAAAAATGTCAGTTAGAGGATGGATCGTGTTAACAGTGCTAGCTTTACCTCTATACCACTATTTGGTAATTTAATATCAGTTGTTAATTACTAACAGTATGACTTAAATATGGAATTACTTTGAGATAAGGGTGTGTGATTGGTAAAAATAATCCTTCAATTTAAATCGGTAATCTGTCCTGTTCATCGGCCTCCTAATGTTCAGTATCCGCCATAGAATCCTATGTTGCCGGTTGGCCGTCACATGCACGACCGTTGAAGTTGTTTCTAGCTGTCATCGGGACTCCTGTCCGCCAACGTTAATGTCACTCTTTACAGGATTTTTCTTGTCAGGCTACAGTAGTTTACGTCGAGATGTTGGAAAGTTATCAGTAGCTAAAATGTTAATCACATCGTGGTGGAACACGGCATACTGCTCACTTAACCGGCTACGGGTGCTGTCGTCGAACGCAAGCTAACGTTAGCCGCTGGCCGTCCCTTTGTTCACACCAAAGAGTCTGATTCCACGATGGTATTTTTCCTCCAAAATAGCCGAAACACAGACAAACCTTTGTCCAATGTAGGTGGCGAAACAATCATATCAACGCTGGTTTATAAATACACAAGAATTCAACTGTCAACGGTTGTCGAATTTTGTTCGAAATTAAGCGCTATCGTTATGGCCTAGGTACTTAACAGCAATGGTTGATCGTTGGCTAACGAAACCATGTTAGCCTAGCCAGCTAATGTTAGCTATTTACATGGCTGAAGGGGCCACCTAAAATGTCCGCCGTGTGATTCCACGGATTTTTTTAACATTTAGTTGTCGGTTTGCTGAAAACAATTACAACAACGACGTATTTATTTTAATGCTTAAAAAACCATTGGTCACAATAAATGCCGTCTGATGTCTTACGGTCATTTCCGCTTGCTGGCTCTAATCCAACCACATGGTTCAGACCCAGCTAGCTACATGGCTATGCTAACAAGCCAGCTGGGCTCACTGCCTGCTAACATATCCGGGCGCGACTCTACCACGTGTGAGCGCTCAGGCACTGTGCAGTGTGGCCAAAAATGGGGCAGTAGGTCTATAGTAGTTGAACTTTGAAACGTTGTCAGTGACACCGGGCTACTCTATTACTTAAGCCGTCTTTGGCATGTTGCATCACAGCAGTTTCAGAAAGGACAGAGTCACTGATAATGCCGGTAATAAGACATCTTTAGATCTACATGGGAAATGGTGTAGTCATTACTGGCTCATAGTTCTCTTTGGTCATGCCTCACACCAAGTGCAGCTGGCATAGGGCACCCCTAAGCATCAGGATCTATAAAAAGGGTGACAGTTGGGAGTTAAATATAACTTCCACATTATCTGTGGCCATGGTTAGTTTCTCATCATCTGTCGTTATTTGATTCCATTACTGTTTCTCATGGGTAGAAAGGTCCTGCGAAACAGAGATCCTTGTTGGAAGCTCTTCATTTATGCACAGTACAATCTCCTGTCAGTGTAACACAAAAAGGTGATGACTCGACCTTAAACTTGCTTATTCATTTAGTTTTATTGTGTCTCTTTGCAGCAACAAAAGTCTTGGGTACAGTCAAATGGTTCAACGTCAGGAATGGATATGGTTTCATCAATAGGCAAGTGAACCCCACATCCCTGCTTCTTTAAATCTCTGATATTATCTCTGTGTGTGTGTGTGTGTGTGTGTGTGTGTGTGTCAAGGACCATTCCCAATCCTATTATGGCTTTGATTTGCTTACAAAGCTGACCAGACGATTTGTCTGCTGGTCTGTGCAGTACTTGATTAATCCTTATGCTAGCTGGTTTAGTTGCAATCTGTTGAATTATGTGGCTTAACAGAATTCTGCCAAATAGTAACTGAGTGGTTTTCTTCCTTTGTTTAGGAATGATACAAAAGAGGACGTTTTTGTACACCAGGTAAGTTGTAGGTTGAGTTGTTTTCTTATTTTTTTTAAAACAATCACAAATTTAAAATCTCACATCTGAATTCTTCATGGTTTCAGACAGCCATCAAAAAGAACAACCCGAGGAAATACCTTCGCAGTGTTGGAGATGGAGAAACTGTGGAGTTTGATGTAGTCGAGGGAGAGAAGGTAAAACTATGCTCTGGTTGGTAATTCAGTTTTGTGACAAGGTCGAACGTTCTGATTTTAATTTGCAGCTCCTTTATTTTAAAAAAACAAACAAACAAAAAAAAAACACCCAGTAATTGTTCTTCCTCAGATAATTAATTTGAGTAATTACATTTCTTTAAAAAAAATTCTGCTGGGCACAGGGAGCAGAGGCGGCAAATGTCACTGGCCCAGGAGGCGTTGCAGTCCAAGGAAGTAAGTATGCTGCTGACAGGAACCGTTATAGGCGCTACCCCCGAAGGAGGGGCCCTCCCCGTGGCGGAGACTATCCAGAGAATTACCAGAGTGACGGAGAGGGTGAGCCTGGCAGCGGAGGTCGTGACAAAAGCAGCAGAGAAGGGGGAGAGAGTGCCCCTGAAGGAGACCAGCAGCAACAGCAGCGCAGACCCACTTACCCTGGCAGACGGCGCTACCCGCCATACTTTGTACGTAGACGCTACGGGCGCCGGCCCCCGTACACCAACGCACCACGCGGAGAGATGACTGAGGTACGCCGTCACAGGGCTACTATCCTGAAGCAGGCACCCAGCTGTCCCGTAACAAAATCGGGACCCTTGATAGGTTGTCATACGCGACTTAAAACACTCTCCTTTCTAACACTCACGTGGTTGTGAACAATTTGATCTTGGTGTATCGGGGGTCTTGCCAATACCTTGCAAACTGATTCAAATAGGCCCCTCAGCTCCGTCAGAGCTGCCTGATGTTGCTTTTTTTTATCATTCTCAACATTAAATGGCAACCTGGCCAGTTTCATTACAACTATTTTATGTAGTCTACATTAAACATGTTCTTAAGGTTGCCTGTGTACTGACTCCGGAAAAAGCAGTGTATCACTTGCTATTTGATTTGTTTGCTTTCAGGGAGGTGAGGGTGACGAGAGCCAGGGAGGTCCAGACCAGGGCAACAAACCAGTGAGGCAGAACTACTACAGAGGCTTCCGACCAAGGTTCAGACCAAGGTTTGCATGTTGGCTTCATTGACGCAGGGCTGCAATAAAGGGAGAATAAAACAATGGACTGTCTGGATCCCAGCTTCGAATCCCCCAAACTAAATTTAACTTTTAAAAAGAACCTTTTAATAATAATTGATGCCACCTGTTTTGGCCAAAGAAGCTCTCCTTTCATTACAGCCTAACCTCAAACTGCAGCTGTGCATCCAAATTTGTCTTTTTTTTTTCCAGCAGCAATTGTCTTACGACTGTTAAACAGTATCTTGTCTCAGTGGACGATGTGTTCTTTGCATGATATCTCCACTTCGTCACTGTGTGCATCATGCTTGCTTACAGCCTCTTGCCATTTTACCTGTTCTTTCCAGGGGTCCACCCCGTCCCAGACCGGTGCGGGACGGTGAAGAGGACAAGGAGAATCAGGGTGGCGAAGGTGGTCAAAACCAACAGCCCCGCCAGAGGCGCTACCGCCGTAACTTCAACTACCGCCGCAGACGCCAACAGACTGGTGGCAAGCCCGGCCAGGAAAACAAGGAGGCCAAGACAGGAGGTGACCCATCTGCAGAGAAAACGTCCGCTCCCGAGGCCCAGCAGGGTGGGGCTGAGTAGGAAGCAAACTGCCCACCGGCACCTACCATCTTTTACCATCGTCCGGGTGAGTCTATGGCTTCGTGATGGCCTTTGTTTCCATCAGCTTTAGCTGCCTATACATTCAGATATCTTCTTCAGATTCAGCATCTGGAGCATAGTGGAGCACATTCAGGTTCACAAGGTGCTTTGATATATATTTTTTTCTTTTCCGTAAGTAAGCCTGCCTAGCTTGTCATTGCACTTTTTTGGCTCTGTAATGGATGATCCAAAGCATGAGGTAATGCAGTGGATTTGATAAAGCAAACTGTCTGGCACCATAGAGCCTACTCGCTATTGTCTCACTAACATGAGCAATAGCTTTGGGCTTTGCATTCTTTTTCTGCTATTTGGTGATGATGCACATTTTCAGGCAACTCATTATGTAGCGATCTACATGACTAAACCCAAATGATTGAAAATGTCAAATGAAAATTCAGTAAACAGATGAACAATGGACTAATTTGCAAATTTTCTTCTTTCACAGTTTTTTTGTCAACAAGAAGAAACATCAAACAAGATCTGAGCAATAAAGATTTGACTTGACGAACGTCACAAGCTTGCACCATGCATTTGACCAGATTACCACCGATTGCCTGCAGAATCTATGCAGACTTGTTTTTTTTCCATTATTTTTATGTGACAGCTACAAAAAGTTTTGGGGAAACAGCAAATGTTTTTCTAAATCTGTCCTAAGTTTTTACACCAAATGGTTTTTAAAGAGAAAATGGAATTTGATATCTGGTCAGTTTGACATTTTTAAATAACTTTTTATGTATTCAAACATTTTAACAAAATGCAAGCTCAAATAAAAGTCCAGAAACCAGGAATACGTTGTCCGGTGGCTTTATTTTATTTTCAAGTATATGGGCTCTACACAATGGCACAAACCACAGAATTAGTTTTCTTTCAATTAAGGTGTAGACTGGGAGTGTTTTTTCCTTTCATACATGTAGACGAAGACAACCTTGTATGTGCAGTAAATATTTAATCTACCAACTTTATCAATAGTATGCTATACCATAAACTACATTTTAAAAAGGCTAATGTTTACCAAAACCATGGTAACAAAAACCCTAGACAGCACCTTTTTATGACATTAACACATGACACAAATGTAACCAGTATTTAGTACTATGTAGATCAAATTTCTCATCTTGGGTTCAGGGGACAAGATTCCTGAAAGCAAAGTGTAGGAAATACACTTCAATTTTTTCGCATGCAGTTTCTCACACTACAGTGTAAGTAGACAATAAGATTAAATTTCCTAGCTACTGGTTTGGAAATAAAACCTGAGGCTGCATTAGAGGTTCATTATTTACTACAGCCAGTAAGTTAAAATTTACATTCACACCAACAAGGAAATAACAAGGTAGTGCTGTACAAGTTCAATGAAATGTCCATTGCTGGCCAAAAAAATCCTACTACTGCAAATGTCTCAGTTATTGGTTGCACACTAGAAGGTGAAGTAAATATATATGCCTCTGCTACAAATAGTTTTTTGTTGTTCTACCTAATGGCCATGTTTTAAAATAACTGGTTTGGATTGTCTGACTGGTTGAAATCAAACCATTACCTCATGGCTCCTGTACATTTTATACCACTGGGGGCACCAAGATGGCTTTAATGTCCACTTTTAATGCTTTACATATCCTTGAACATGTCTTTCAGTCTGTTGGTAATGGACCTCTGGACCAGTAATTAATACTTTTCCTATGTCCAACGTAATTCACTAGTAATGCAGTCTCAACAACAACTGAACATAGTGAGCATCAACAAATCTACTAGAAGGGGTTTCTGTTATTTTGTCCCCTGTGTACATCCTTATACGATAGTATTGCCCTTCAAACGTTGGTCTCTTTGCGCAAGCGCTTCATGCGTTGCACATTGTTCTCCATGGCAGTGGGGTTGGTGATCTCTGTGGCACAGCTAGCAGGAAACCAACCTCTCTCTCCATCTCGCATTCTCTCCCCATAGCACCAAGCTAGGAAGAACAGACAGCTGAAGTTTCATATGAACACTCATGCTTTTTATGGATTGTAGAGGAAGGGACAGTGACTAGGCTAGAAGGTCTGGATTCAAGTTTTATTACAGCTAGTAACAGGGCAGTAACAGGGCCTCACCTTCCTCTTTCCGTATGACAATGACAAGCTCAGCCTGTTGTAGCCCCAGCTCATCTGGCTCCTTTGGCATGTAGGCTTTAGTGGCCTCATACTGTGGCAGACCTGAAACATATTCCCATAATTCTATGTGGTGAATAAAACCAAAGCTTTTCTGTTAGGTTTTCTGTTTCTGTTTTCAGCACTTTGTATGTGGTTCTTCTTATTGAGTTGCCGTGAAGACTTCAGTACCCTGTTGTACTGTAAAAACTTCTTCTGCCACACAACCGAATATCCCCAGCCTGTCACATTACTTCCTGAGATGTGTCATTTTCCCTGGAAAGGCACACCCTTTGATAACGATATCAAATGTCAGAGATATCACACACTCTTAAACATCAGCTAACACCCACTGTGAGTGTTGCTTGTGTAATGGTTTTGTTTTAACTTTAACAGTGAGTAACAGAAGGCTGTGTATCTGTGTGAACAAGATCACTGCTTTAATTTAGTTTAATAAAAACTGCATGTTTGGCTTACAGACATATTGGATACTAAGGCCCAGTCTGTAGGAATCTGAATGATCGCGTCACATCTGTCATGTCTTGAAATTCACACTGTGGATGTTTGGTACATAGAGTGGCTTTAGAAAGTGTTCTGACCCCCTCACCTTGTGCATACTTTATTGTGTTGTAGATTTAATTCTAAATGGATAAATGTTAAATTTTTGCCCATCAGTCAAAATTCAATAACCTATAATAAAGTTGAAACATGTATTTAGAATTTTTTCCAAATATATTAAAAATCAAAAATTGTAGTAGTCACTAAAGTATTCAGACCCTTCAGTTCAGTACTTGGTAGAGCTCACGTTGGCAGCAATTGTAGCTTTGAGCTTCTTGGTTAAGTCTCTAGGAGCTTTGCACACCTGGATTTGGGCAGTTTGTCCCATTCCTCCTGGCAGATCATCTAAAGCCTTGTCAGATTAGATGGGAAGAGTTTGAACTTCAGGTCTCTCCACAGATATTTTATGGGGTTTAAGTCTGGGCTTTGGCTGGGCCGTTCAAGAACAGCCAGAGACCTTTTCCAGAATTGTTCCTTGCCACAATTTTATTGCAGAGGTCTACAGGGAGCTCCTTGGACTTTACTGCTTGGTCAGGGTTCACACAGATCAAGAAAACATTGGGAAATAGGTCATAAGTCTGGCAAAGAAGGGAGAAACTAAGCAGGTATGATATGTGTGTGAACAAGATTGTATTTTAAATTGTTGCAGACTCATTTGAAATGGAAAATTAACCCAAACTGTCTGTTTTTTTGCGCAACACACTGCATTAACCAACTATTGAAGGCTCTCATGACCAAGGAATAATTTACACATGAGAGGAAAGAGAACAGACTTCTTATTAGTTGTCACACTTAAAATGAAGGTCAAACTCAGAGTTAACTTTGTGTATTTAAAAGAATGATACTCTTGGTAAATAAAGCAGACTGACTTACCATCTGTACAGGTGAAGACACCTGCCTGCTCGTGCTCTGTAAGAGCAACTATCCAACGGGCCCGGTCCATCCTTGGTAACAGAGACAAGAAAGCTTAGTTAAATATGTACATGTGTGCACACTGTACATGTGATAAGACAAAAAAAGTCTATTTCTTATGAATGAACTAAATGCATGGGAACACTTTAAGTTGGTGTTCAGACTTCCATCAGTAGAGGGAGCCAGACACAAAATATTAGATCTTGTTTCCAGGTCATGCATGAGAACATGATTTTTGAATGTCACAATGGGACCAAGTTTCCCAGAGGCCAGTATTCATGGCTGTACCTTGAATCAGCCACCAGGGAGATGTGCTCTGATCTGCCCTCGCTGTTCCTGCTCATCAGCAGTTTGAAGGAAAGATAGTGGCTGTTCTTGGCAGGCGGAGACGTCCGTTCCTCAGCGTCCTCTCCAACCTCCACCTCCACATTCTCCAAAGTGGCATAGTCCATCACCACAAAGCTCTCCTCACTGGATTTAGAGACAGTATTTACCAAAATGTAATTTTTTTTGCTTATTTTTTTTTAACCAGATAAAAAAAATGTTATTCTCTGGCCGCAACATGCAGAAATCACACAAATAATGTGACTTTAAATGACATTTTCACAAATTATAGTGCAGCTAAACCCAGCTACAATTGTACATAAAGCAAAGTAAACAAAAAGCAAACAAAACTACATTCCTTGACTATCTGCTAATAGCATTTCCTCCATATTACCACCTGAAGAGCAGGTCACAGTGTGGACTTTACAAGCTCAAAATGACTCCAGTGTTGTGGTCACTCCTTCCACTGAGCTGACATTGTTTGCTTTCTCCCTAACTCAAAACAAAAAGTCAACAGTCAAGCTAACATGCTGAATGCAAGATTGAAGAATCTCAAGTATGCACACACCACATCCATTCTCTCTCCTTTCTGTCCTCTTCCTCTCTCTGTTTCTGATGTCCCCTGCCAGCCAGCAGCTGGACCCACTTAGTATCCGCAGGAGTCACCAGGAAAGATGAAATGAAAAATAAACTGGGTGTAATTATGAAGTTTGTCTTCTCTAGCCGCCCAGTTTACCAGAGTCCCTACGAGGCTCTTTTTTATTTGAAAAAGTGATGTGTTCAGTGAGAGACACCTTAATGCTTAAGCTTCCAGCTCTGCTTTCATTGTTTCTAATGCTTACCCCTCAGCAGTATCTTACAGGAGGCTGAATGCATCTGAGGTGATCCCAACAGATTGTACACCTCATTGACTGTGATTATTTTGACATTATGGAGAATATTTACTGACATTTATGTGAATATGAAACTGAATTTAAGGGAATAATATTCAAAAGGAATTCTATGTATTTTTGACCCACTGACCTCTTCTTCTTGGTAACGATCAGTACATCATTGAAGAGAAACAGGTAGTAGCTCCTGTTGCTGAAAGCCCTCCAGATGCTGAGCTCCTCCGTGGAGACGGCCAGCTCGCCACGCTTCTTCAGCCACCGTGATGATGACACCAGAGGAAATGGCTGTGAAGACATGAAATTTATCAGGTCAGCAAACTGGACCAAGACGTTTTCTTCTAATGGATTTGCGTTATTACCGGGGTTTTTCCGGGCTGAAAATTAAGCGGGGGTGGTACAAACCGTACAACCGCTATACCATATTTATATTTTCATTATCATTATCTCTCCAGCCAGGGTCAAATGCCTTTGAGAACATCTGGGAGGATGAATAAAAATTGATCTTAAAATCATGTAAACGTCGGCTTTAATGCACTCGTTAATACACTTCTAAAGACTAAAGACTTACCTCAATAAAAAGCTCCATTGACTGTATTCTTACTAGAATATACGGTCGGTCTCACCTTGATTTTACCAAAATCCATCTGTTTCTGGATGGTGTACATCTGCTCTGTCCTCTCCATCCGCCTTGCTCCATCATTGCAGCTAGTGACCAACTGTTGAGATAAGACGTTAATAATAACATTATATAAAAATGAATGACAATCATGAGCTTAAAAACACTCAGCTTCACAGTCCCCTTTCATCCGGTCACCAAAGAGCTACCTTGCTGATGGCGTGCAGAGCCCAAACAGCAGCAAAGTACTCAGCTGTCTTGTCTGGAGTTTTCTGGCAGATTGTCTGTAAGGAGCAAACAAAGTCGTGAAAGCCAGTTATTCACTTCTGTTGGCAAATCAATAGCATCACTCTAAATCACATCAGTTTGAATATGAAGTTCCTAAATCATTAATAACTTACTGATCATTAACTCTAGTACTGTTCAGGCACATACTGTAGGTATAGTTCTGTGTATATACAGAAAACTGTATATACACAGAACTATATATACTATACTATACATATACTATATGATCCTAAAGGACTGACAGCCATTTCATATTACCTAAATATACTAATACATAAAATGTTACTCACCCTGCTGGCATGAACACATAGTTCATCAGATCATTTGAGTGTCAATTAAAAATATATGCATATATGATAATCCAAACAGAAAAAACATCTGTTAAACATTTAGATGCATCATACATGCATAATCTATCTCTTGGAAAATATTCATTTGCAGTTGTTATGCATCTTCCAATCAACTCAAAAAACTTGAATGGCAGAGGCTGCAAAAACAGGGGAGCTTCCAATTCAAGTTGTAATCAACAAACAGGTTTTTCTAATCTAGTTTGGAAATCTGTGGATTTTAATTTATGGAACAATGCTATAATCACAAAACTGTTAAACAGAGGCTGTCAAAGTTTTCAGATGGTGCAACATGGCTTCAAAAATAATATTTTTTACAGATTTCTTCAAGTCTGGCATCATATTGAAAAATTAAATAAACAGAACTAGATAATGTTCTGTTTAAGGTCTTTGTAAAGGCATATGTTTTGAATTCAAACCATAAGAACATCACAACTTTGCAAGGGTTTACAACATACAAAATATAACTCATTGTATGTAAAACAAAAATGGGAAAGGTAGGGAAACCTAAATATACTTGAAGAGGGATGGAAAAATGTGAGAGCTAAAATGGAAACTTCATATTCATCTCTTTTCTTCTTTTCTTCCTTCCTCCTGTTCAAAAGACTAATTTTACTAAAACACTATACTACAGTTGCTGGAGCAAAGCATGATCATATATCCTGGTCAATATTGCTCAATACTGAGCCCATTCTGACAGGAGGTTCAGAAGGTTTTGGAAAAAGTTCCCCAGATTGATGTTCCATTTAAACTTGAGAATCTCTGAGGTCAGAGACCTGGTCCAGATTCTAGGCGCTGCTGGCACAAACACATCACTAGAAGGGGGCTAAAACCAAAAGTACAAAACAACTGATGATTGGATTAACATTACTTATATCTTTGAAATGGAAAGGCTAACTTGCTATTAGTCTGCAAAGGGACAAGATATATTACTCATGTACATCCACATCAGTCATTTATTTACCCCCCCCCCCCTTTTTTTTAAGGGGATTCTTATTTGCTTTTGTATTTTATATTGTTACTCAGCTATATTCTGGTGCAACTTTTTTTTTTTTTTTTTAACAGAAGCCAGGGACATTCAAGGCTTCTAAGTTGTAATGCAACAATTATATTGTTTGTATGTGCCTTGGTATATCATATAATAATATACTGTATATAAAAAGTCCCTCATTCTCCAAGCACACACCTGCTGTCACAAGTCTCACAAGTCATTGCTTCAGTGTTAGGTTTGAGAGCTGTGCATGTAGGAAAGTAAAGGTTAAACTAACATCCAGCAGCAGGGGCAGTCTGGTCACTCGCTGCATAGGAAGGATGAGGAAAGAGATCATGGGGAGGCCGCCGCATTCACTGCTCCCTTCAATTTGCTTCAGGGTCTCTTTGAACGCACTGTTGCTGGTCCTTTGAGACACAAAGAAAAAGGGAAGTTTAGCTCATCCTGCTGTGTGTTACTGCAGAAACCCAGCAGCATGGAACAGTTTGTTGTGCTACTCACAGCAGCTTCTGCAGTGTCCTCTGCTGGAAGGTCTCATTGGAGCAGTAGACAATGTAGGGTTCAAAGTGGTGTGCAGCGTGGTTCTGAACAATATCGCTAATGTCTCGAATCACTGGATTGTCATAGTGACGCCGTTCAAGGTCCTCAAAAAACCTGAAAATGGAGAAGTGAGGAAGTGAGGACGATGTTTTTCCTTCCGCAGACTAATTACCTGAGCAGGATACACACAGCTATGAGAGGGGTATGTTGAGGCTGAACTGGTTGGTCATATAAAGCCTATTTACTTTAGTGTGTCCCTGTTAAGTTAATGTTAAGTAATGTTTGTAACTATTGTATCACTGGAAGCAATTGTTTTTGAGCCTGTCATTTCTGAAGCGAAAGGCGTGTTATTTTAACTCAGTTGATACTGAAAAATGTGAACACAGACTGATCATTTTAACTTTCCAACATCCCAAAACACTAAACTAACATAAACTCTAATTTTAACTTCATCACACTGATGCAGCCGGTCCCTTCTGACTCCACTGATGTGAATGACTTTCAGTCTCACCCTTGCAAAGTGCCTTTTTAACAAAACGGAGTAAAATGATACCTAAACAACAGCCCAACCTAGTCAACTACAGGACACACATTCAGACACAGAGACTGTAAGTCAGACATGACTCAGACACAGGCAGAGAACTTCTGCCTTCTACCTTCACAGATTCTGTTTTACCTTGAAAAAGACAACAAGAGGATCAAAGCCAGACGGGCTCTTCCTCTCTCGCTGCTAGAGCAGAATCTATTTTAATCCAAAATAAAGTAGCCAGCAATGCACAGAGCAACACAGAAGCTCTCAAGCACTCTAAAGCCAGGAATACTCCTCAGGCAGCAGAACCAGTTTAGCTAGCATGTTTTAACATGTTGACGGAGCCTACAGGATACTAGAGAAATGCAAAGGGCAAATGCTCTACCTGAAACTTTCAACCAACCTATTATCCACTTGAAACTGAATCTCAGTGGGAAAACAATGTCACACACACACACACACACACACACACACACACACACACACACACACACACACACACAGCTCCATCTAAAATCTGTAGAGCAGATAAACCAACAGCCCAGTGCACTGTTTCACACACTGATAGCATCATCAGATCCTTTTCTACAAGGTGGTGAACATACTGCACAACCATTTTTCCATCACCCACAGGCACAAACACACACATGTAAGACTATAAGCGTGCTGTGCCCACCGCTGGCTGACTTGGTGGATGACAGAGATGTTGGAGAAGAGGTGATGGTGCTCTGTAGCCGTCATGGTTTTCCTTAGTGCTTCATTGCTCTTGAAGTGACGCACCAGAATGCCCAGGCTGTGCAGGTACGAATGCTCTGAGGTGATTATCTCAAAAATAGCCTGTGAAATGATCACACATACCCAAATGAACATGCATGTGGAGGAACCATTAACATATGTAACATGTACTTGAATTTCAGCTCCAACCTTTAAAAAGGGGAAGAATTCTCCCTTTGGGGTTCTGAAGTTATTTTGTCATGATATCATGTCAGTTTTTTATTTACTTTTAACTGAACCCACTTCCTTCACTTGTTTTTTCTCATGTGTGATTTAGCGATGCTCTACATTTCCCAGAATTCCTTTGTCCAGTAATGCCCAGCAAAATGGCCACTACTTTTTGCATTCAGTTGTAGGTTAGATGCTTGGCGGAAGGAGCAAAGCAGCGAAGGAGTTCTTCAAAATCACCAATGTAAAACAGACAAGTCCCTGACACAAAATAAAACACATGCTATGTCTGCAATGTATTCTGGTTTATTGAGTTTGCTATTGGTGGAGAAATCTGAATCTCTTCTCTCCTCTATGACAAATGTCTCCCTGCATGTTGAATACTGGTGCAAAATGGTGAATGTATGATTTGATACTGAGTGACACAAAAGTCTGATGTTTTAGCCCCCACAGAAACTTCCTCTCTATGTACTCAAGAGGAATGGTTTGCCATTAATCCCAATGAATGACAGAAATATACCCGACGCCACCAGAAATGGATGACACATCAGCAGTGGTTGATTTGTAGCTGTAGTTCTTTCTGTATGACAGTGTCAATATTTAGTGAAGCAGTGTAACTTAATCCGGTGCACACTGCTTAAGCACTAAAACTAGATACGTGGCGACCAAAGGTACAACAGAGCGAGACAACCACCTGCTCAGCAGAGGGCCTGAGTGTGATTACACTGGCAGGGTGTGGCCTTCTGCAGGGACTTATAGTGCACACAGGGTGGACCTTTGGTATTGACACAACATCTGCTGTTAGACTGTTTGTGAAGACACATTGCAAAAGGGAAAATCCACCCTCAGATAGTGTAACACTATGTAGCTGGTATCAGTCTGTGATGTTCAGTTGCTTTCCAGGAGTTTCTAATGAAATGTAACTGGCTTTGTTGTTACACCAAGATAACACATTTAAGAAGCAGGGAGTGGAATGCGAGTGAGTTGCACTATGGGAAATGTACAATCCAGTGTTTTTAAGGGACTAAAACTTCAGGTATCACAGCCTCTGTTGCATACATTTTGATTGTTCTTTTTTAAATTTGTATTTTTGTATGGAACCAAATAATAAAAACTATTAATGACTACTACTACAGAGTTTTATTATTCCAGTAACAGTCTGAGTCTTAATTGTAATCACATCGCTGTGTAATTATTTGTATCACATCTTGTTTTGTCTTGGTTTTCTTAAAGTGCATGTTTCTATGTGTTTCTGTGTGTAAGCAAACACCTTACCTCTTGTCTCTTTCTCTCCTGAGGTGAGATCATTGTCAGGACTCCTGTGTCCTTCACCTTTGGAAGAGATGTAAAAAGAAACCAATGTGGAGCTCTCACACGTTAAAAAGTTTGTTTTGAAAATGATGAAAATGATTTGAAAAAATGTCTCCAAACGTCTCCAGGCTGTTACACAGGCTCAGTGTATGTTCTGACAGCATTTCTACACAGGGTCATGGAGCGTGGACGTTCTTAGTTTATGAAGAACAGTAAGACTCTTTCATATTAAAAAAAAGGAAAGTTAAAGAGCAAGAAAGAACAATATTTTATCAGAAGACCAACACACTGGCTGTCAGTGTTGTCTGCTGAAGGAAGTGATGACTGAAATGGATTTATATACAATACATGTGCACTTGTTTGCTCACACTTTGCATGTCAGTATGGTTAGAGGTTTACCTGTGGTAGCTGGCTCCAGGTGAGCTGTGCTGGCCGGTAGCTCTTCACCACGATGCCCTGGTCCTCCATAGGAGGCTCCACCACCACAAAGTCATCCAGCAACTCATCCTGGTTGGTGGAGTGCAGCCCACGTTCACGGATCTCCTGGTAGAGGCACGGTGTAGCTGTGGATCGCATCAACATCAACAAATATCACTGAACTATCACATCTGTCTCAGTGTGCATGGTTTTGCAGTTGGGATTCATGTGACTTTCACATCACAATCACATTTTTCATTACCACAGAAGCCCATTGCAAATTCCTAAAATACACAGTTTAAAGGATGAAAATACCTGGGTTTTTAAACTGAAACATTAATCTCATAATGAGCCTACACAGAATCCTGTTATTCACCCACATCTGTCTGATGTATTGAAAGAAAGTAATTGTAGGTGTTCTGTAAAGAGTAGGAAATTCTAAAAGCAGAGGTGGAATTCAATTCATGATAACATACAATAACTTTGAAAATTATAGCATGGAGGTGAGAATGCATCTGACAGTGAGTTAGGATGAAATACAGGTTTCTGCCTAGAGTGTCTCATTGGCAGAATGATAATGATGAGGTTGAATGAAGACTAAGTTAGTGAACGGTCACAGGTTGGATTCTCTGTGTTAAATGTGAAGGGAAAAGAAAGGAGTTTTTTTAAATGACTACTCTTCCATCTGAGAACAGATAAAAATAATGAATTACATTCTATTAGATTAATGTTGACATCTTTAGACAGTGCTTTTTGTCCAGTGAGACAAGTAAACAGTAAACACTTCTCAAATCCACATAATTAGAATTGAAAACTGCTTATGAAAAACCACTTATCAAAACATAGAAGTGTCAGTGTGTGAAGGTGCAGGACAAGTATCCACCTTCAGGATTCAACAGACACTCAGCATGCTGGGAGTGTACAGAGTGATTTCCTGTTTGGTTCTCTCCTGTTGCCTTATGGAATCTTTTCTGAGCTATGACTAGGAGATTATGGCGTCCACATATCAAATCCACGTTGAAGTTCCACAACATGTAATTACTTAGCAATCAAAAAAAGAAAAAACACCAAATGTCATTGTCATTTCCTAGCTATTTGTAGTCTTGTAGCCAAATTTAGAGTGGTGGACAGAGTGACACATTAGTGAACATACCGTCTTTGAAGGATCCACGTTGCTTCTGGTTCCTCTTTCTCCCCAGGGTTCGCTGCAGGGGAGACAGCAGTTTATCACTTTGGAATACTTGTGCATCAATGATACTGAGTTTTTCTCATCTTTTTTTTATCTCTCTTAGGCACTGCCTCTTTCTTTCAATCCTTCAATTTAGCATTTTTTAATTATAAACTGGTAAAAAGGAGATCTTACTCAACACTAGCACTGGTCTGGAGGAAAGGAAACAGTTGCCATCATCTCTATGACTAGAGGAAAATTTGACAGAGGTCACCGCCAACGCTATTGGCTACGCTGGCTGTGACCTATGAGATTATTAGCTCTGGTTTCATCTTAAGAACATATTGGCACTGAAATCAATATCAGTCTTTTGTTCAGTCAATTATGTTCAAAATCAAAGAATGCTGTAATGCCTTTCTAAATAAATGAATTTATTTCAAATATAGATGACTTTATTACTGGAAAAGGACTGCAACTGAACCCTTCATTCTGAAATATTCAAAGGCTAATATCCACCAGATCAAAGGATAAAAAAATGATCTTTTTACAGTTTTTGTAATTAGCCAACTGCATGTCAAATTCCATTTACTTTACTATGAGTTTATGGTAAGTGGACAGAGTACAACATTGCCCTTTGATCCCCGACCCCCCCCGGCATATTCACCTTGTGTCCAGGGCTGCGAGCTGGACCAGGACTGGGTGCTCTGCCCTCTCTGACAGGTTTCAGCACGGCCATAGCCCCTTGTCCTGCTGCTATGGCTTCAATATCCAGGCTGGTCACAGCTGCTCTGTATGACTTGTTCCTGCGGTTCCTCCTCAAAGCAAAACCATCTCCATCACTGTCATAATCCTCCCAGGACACATCTGGTCCCTGGGTTGAATGTCGGCTCCGGGTCCCACTGCTGGAGTGCTCCAGTCCCACTGGGAACGTCACCACGGTGGTGTGGTGGCGGGTTTTATGTCGGCCAGCCGTGGCTAAACTCTTGGGGATGAGTTGATGAGTGCCAACCTTCAGTGCTGCAGGACTCTGGGTGCTCAAGACCACCTGCTGAGGCACCACAAGCCTGTCTACTTCATCTTCTTTGGGTGTGGATGTTTCATGTTGGGGTGTGGAGGGACTTTCTGACTGGCAGCAATCATCACCTAGCTCAGATATATGTAGTTCTGTGGAGAAGTGGCTCTCCAGAACTAGAGGGGCCTGGTCGCCCGTGCAGTTGTCTGAGTGGCGTTGGGACATGGCGTCCTCCTGGCGTGATCACGGCCCAGTCTACTGAGTGCTACAAAACCTACAACATCAGAGGAATCTGAAGAGGAGGGAGAAAATACAGCCTTTACATGAATAACCAGGAGACATAATGGGCTCATCCCATCAAAGAAGGGAGCTTAAAGCAAGATCCAGTTCCCCACTCACACAGTGAGTCGGAGAGAGCAGCCAGTTGTCAGTCCTCAAACTCATATCAAGGGAATCAACCAGAGACCCACAGCTGACTCCTACACACTCCAACACATCATATAGAGATCTGCTCCAACAAATCTGTGCACCACACAAGCTACAAGATACAATACTCCTGACCTGCCCTGTGCAAAGAGTATGAGGTCAAGTGGAGACACACTTGCACATTATGCAAGCCTCACCCCTATAAACATATTATTGTGGCAGTCTTAAAATTACATTCATTACAGAGAGTAAGAAACTTGCTTGGTTTAGAATATATAACCTACTGTTATGACACACAGAGCCAAATAAAACATTAGCTTGTTTTTTTTTTGTTCAGTTTGAATCTCCAATAAGTACGCTGCTTAAGGACGGATTAGGGTGGGAGAAAAAAATGTCTGCCTCACATTCCCATGGTTCTAAACAGCGAGGTGACACGCAGTTCAGCAACCACGACATTGAGCTGTGTAGCAGCTGTCTTACCTGTGTGAGTTGAGCGTACAAACACCAGACGGCTTCCGTATTAAATGATATCAGAAAGAAGTCTGAAGTATGCGACAGCTGCTGTCCAGAGAGAGGAGAAGTGCAGCTGTAGCAGCAGCTCTAGTCCTTCGCTCCGCTCTGTCACATATTTCTTCTTACTCACTCACTTCCTCCTCTGTTTGAAAGCGCCCATTAAGCTATGCTGACTACGTCACTACAGGTGAGTGTCTATCAATCATAGGAGAGGGCCAGTTTAGATAAAAGCAGCCAAATGCTCGCTGCTAAAGAAGCAACTCTCCACAGAAAAGCAGCGCAATATTTGAATTTTACAGATGTTTCTGTTTCTACTGTCCAGTCCTGCTTCTCCACATGGAACTCCACCAGTTTTCAAATGTCAATCAAATTCATTTTAAACAGTTATACCTCACCACATAGTTTAAATCGTTATCAAATACAAGAAAATAAACTCTCCTTTTTACCTTCCATTGAAAATCTTTCTCTCTGTTTATTGACATCCTATCTACCTGAATGGCAACAGCTCTTTGGGTCCCTCTGGTGGTTAACAGGAGACATTAGCTTACAGTCTCGGCTATAATGCAAAAATTACAATTTTTACATTACAGACGAGACTGTAATTTTATAGCTGATATATTTAAAATATTAAGCCAATTTTCGCCACATTTAGCTTTATTATTTACTTATTATAACATTTAACATTTCACAATTCGATTTAGATTTAACATTCAGATTTACATTTAGATTTAATATTTAGATTTCGATTTTACATTTCGATTTAAATTTTTTTTTACATATACACTGTTAACAATTACATATAACATATTTTTTGTCTCAAATGTGAGGAAAGTGAACTAAATATTCAAAATCTATCAGCTATATTTGACGCGTCTTTCGTGACATCAACTTTGTTTGTGAAACCTTCTTGAAAGGAATGATAGTTTAAGTTAATACTGAGGTTAAACTGAGTTTTATTGTTATATAGAAACATCTACTGATGCTAAGCTAGGGCACATCGTCAGTGATGTATCCTGAGGTCATCGGGTGTTCTGGGTCTTTCAAACATCAGACACCGTCACTCAGGTGACCCAGCTGAGGTTGATCAGGCCTGAGCCTGTACCCTAACTGCACTCGCCCATGGATCATCTCTCTTGATCCAGAGCCACCTGGAGGCTTTCTCAGCAGTCTCCATGTGGTTGTGGATGGCTCTTCTCTTCCTCTCACCAGCAGAGTGTAAGCTTTACAGAGGGACTGTAAAGACTCTGCATCCTACCTCCACAGGCACCTTGCCTTCCAGCCTTGTCTTTGGCAGGCCTGCATATTTCTCTCTTCTGCTCAAAGCCTCCTCCACATGGTCCAAGAGCTTGTCTAAGGTCAGTTCATGAGATCTTTCTCTCCGTAACTTGTTCCATTTGGTCCAAGTGCCTTGATTTCTCATTCCCATTGCTCTGCTGGTTCTCCTCTATAGTAGCTCTCACTTCTCTCTGGACCAGTTGTCTTTTTGCTGGGCCTTTTCATACTGAGGGGATGCGACTGTTCCTGGCCCTGACCTTCCTCTAGCCACTGTTCCCACCAGGACTGCATGGCGTAGTCATGACTGTGCCCAACTGCAGCATCTGCTCTCCACTTCCTGACAGTCTTGACTGCTACCCCTGCCCCAGCAACTTTCGGGTCTGTGGACTCTCTGAGTTGCAGCACTTCCTTTGTGTGCAAGACCAGAAGTCCTCCTCAATGGATTTGAGGAGGAGCCTAGCCATCTTCTCAGGAAATGGTAGACTCTCCATTCCAGGTCTGAAATGGTGGAGATTGGAAACTCATAAAGAAGCAGTGGCCACAGGATCCTAGGCAGAATCCCATGTTGATAGATCCATGCTTTGAATTTTCCTGGAAGGCCCGTCTTGTCGACTTCTTTCAAGCACGTCTCCAACTCCTTGCAGCTTTTCTGGTAGTTGCTGTATGCCTGAAACTGTTGTAGTAGATGCTTTGATAGAGAAACAAAACCTCTCTTCAAAACCAGAGACCTTGACCTTGATTTCTATCCTGGCCCATTCCATCAGCCTCTCCAGGCCATTCATGATCCATCTGCCTCCTGGCACTGACTCAGTGGTCACTGTTAGGTCATCCATGAATGCGCAAATTGTTGGTTGGTGGATCCCTGAGTTGGACTTCGGGCCTCTGCACCCTGGTTCAGCTGATTTCACCAACATGTTCATCACCAGGGCAAACAGGATTATCGACATGGTGCAGCCTGTGATGATTCCCACTGCCAATCTGTGCCACTCAGAAGTTGTTGGGCCTGCTGAGACCCTCAGGTTGAAATCACTGTATTAATCCAGGATGAGGTCTCTTACTGTGAATGGAATATGGTGCCTCTCTCACGTCTCCAGCACCAGCTTGTGGGGCATAAAGCCATATGCATTGGCCAGACCTAACCACAGCACCACCAAGTCACCCCTGCTCTCTTTTGGCTTATCTGAGCAGCTGTCTGACCACTGTACGCTCTAGACGGCCTGGTACCCCAGGAATGCCACCTTTCTACACTGAAGGGTCTATGTATCCATTCTTGAGGAAGAAATCAGCCAGTTGCTTGGCTAGAAGGCTGAAAACAATCTTGCCTTCCAACCAATGCTAACCAATGAGATAATTCTAAATTGGCTGATATTCCTAAAGTCCTCCTCTTTTGGGATCCACACTCCTTCTACAATATGCCACTGCTGTTTTCCTCTCCTCCAAAGGACCTTCAAGATCCTCCAAAGCTGGTGTAGCAGTTTGGGGCAGTGCTATACAGCTTGTAGGATGTTGTGCTTGGTCCTGGTGCTGACCTGTGTTGTTTGAACTGATCTGAGTTCAAAAAAATGATTCAGTTGTCATTTTGCCGCTTTCTGTGTGATGGAAAGGAGAAGAGGAGATGGCAATTGATGATCCAGAACTGGGCTGCTGGGCCCAGCTAACCTTACTAGAGATGTGGGAAATTGTATGGCTTTTTGGATCACATCCCATACCAGTACAGAAAAAACATCATACTGATACTGATATTGATACAACAAGACACTGAAAGTATGTGTGTGTCTTACAAATTTACAGAAATCCATTCTCTGTGAAATTGAATAAATTAGCTGATTGTCAATGTATATAGTTTAGATACACAAATCTGTTTTCAGTTTTTGGACTTTTTCCATCCGCAGTCTATGATTTTTTTGATGAGATATTGGATAATTTGAACATTCAATTAACTTATGAGAACCATATGAGAAGTTTACAGGGGGAAATCTTTTGCTGATCATAAGCTGTTAACAATCCAGGCATCTGATTTTTTAAAATTTTGTATTTTAAAAAGCTTGTTATGTTTTCCATAGTGTTAAATCTTTGTCTTAAAGGTAACTTGTAACTAAAGCTGTGAGATAAATGTATTGGAGTGAAAAGTATTTCTCTCTGAAATGTAGAGGTGGAAGTATACAGTAACATAAAATGGAAATAATCAAGTACCTCAATTTTATTTAAGTACAGTACAGCACTTCAGTAAATATACTTAGTTAGTGAATAAGTTATTTATGTCTGTTATCCATGTCTGTTAAGGTAGAGACAGGCGTGCCTTAACCCCTGGCAGGTATATTCTCATCTGCCAAGAGCTGCTTCAACTGCAGCTTCTCCTACGGCATCTCCTCCACAACCTGACACTGCAGCTGTAACTCCCTCCACACTGGGGTCAAGTCTCCTGTCCTTTACAGCGGAGGAGGTGAGGGCGGAGCTAAAGAGGCTATGTCCTGGAAAGGCAACAGCCCTGGATGGTGTGTGTCCGAGGCTGTTAAAGGACTGTGAAGCCCAGCTGGCTGAACCTCTCCAGAGGATCTTTAACTTAAGCCTTCAAACAGGGAGGGTCCTGGTCCTGTGGAAAACATCACAACAATGACTACAGAATGGTGGCCCACACATCACACTGATGTATGATGAAGACCCTGGAGCGGCTGTTTCTCCACCTTCTGAAGCCACAGGTTAAACATGCACTAGACCCCCTACAGTTCGCCTACAAAGAAAATATTGGAGTGGATGATGCCATCCTTTACATGCTCCACCGGGCCCATTCTTACTTGGATGAGCCAGGTAGTTACATGAGGATTATGTTCTTTGATTTTTCAAGTGCATTTAACACCATCCAACCCCCCATCCTTAAAGACAAGCTGGAAGCGATGGGGGTGGATCCCTGTTTCACGTCCTCGATTGTTGATTACCTGACAAAACGAAAACAGTACGTCAGGCTGGGTAACTGTGTCTCAGGGACAGTGTTGAGCAGCATGGAGGATCCACAGGGGACTCCGTTCCTGTTCACCCTGTATACGGGTGACTTTAAATACAACTCTGAGTCCTGCCACATCCAGAAATACAAAGATGACATAGCTATTCCTGTATCAGGAACAGGCAGGAAGAGGAGTACAGGGACCAGTTGGTTTACCTTAGGGATGGTAGCACTAGGAATCGCCATTAAATCCAGGACACATGGAGTTCAGTAGTCTACCAGTTACTTAAAGCACCTCTTGGTCATGGAGCAGTCTACAAAATAGCTCCTTTGGGTGACTTGCACAAGGTACGGAATGTGCATTGAGACATGTTGAAAGCCCAAGTCAGGTCAGAGTCCTCTGCTCACCCGCCTAGGTCCCACCTTCCCTTGCACCAGTAGTACCTGCTGGTTCTCTGACTGGTTCAGATGAGGGTGACCTATGGCTGTTGGTCCCCAACACCCCTTTACCACCTTCTGGTGCTGTACCAAGCTCCTCTGCTTCCACAGGGCCCTCCACAGTGATCCCGGTGGAAAACCAGCCCATTCCAGATATACCTCTGGCAGAGAGAAGTGCTCACTTGCCAATCCTTTCACTTTCCCCAATAAGACAACCTAGTTCTCGTCATATGGCCTTGCATCAGATAGACTGCTTTGCAGCTGGTCAACATTCAAACGTCCTCCACCTCCCCCAGTCTGTTGGTTTTGTAGACAATGGAGTTGGTGAAACTCCACTTCTTGTGTCTAATACTTGCACTCCTTCTTCTGGCTCATCGTTGGGGCAACAATGCAAAAATGGGGGGTAGATTGTTGCAGATTAG